CCCCTCGAGTGCGAGAGAGACAGAGCGACGAAAAAGACTCAGTTTGCTGCGGCAGGACCGCCGCCATTTGTCACTTCTCCGTTTCCGCCGCGGACGGCGTCCACCTGTGCAGCGGGCAGCAGTGCAGGCGACCGATTTCGGAGATCGTTAGAGGGAGGTTTCCGTCCTCGACCAATCAGAGGCCGCCATTGTAACTCCCACTAGTGGCCCACGGCCCGAAACCTCCCTCCGCCTGTCTTCGGAATCAGTCGGCAGGCCGGCGGAAACGCCGCCGAAGTCTGTTGACACGCGGCCGCGAAACGAACCGCGAGCCTCCCCGCGCCCCGCGCACGCCGTGCACGCTGTGGGCATGCAGCGGGGCGGGGAGGCGGCGGCTTGCCTGGACCCTCTGGAGGCAGGACCGCCGGCCAGTGACCCCGCCGCCGCGGCCTGCACCGCCAATCTGCCGCCTGCATCCGACAGAGGGAGGGACAGAGAGAAAGCGAAATGCACAAGTGAATCAATTAATTTGGCCGGTGCGTGTGTGTACCAGCCCAGTCGAGTGGAACCAGAGGGATGAGTACAGCTCCAGGATTAGTGCGTCCTTCAGAAATCGAAGCCGCCTGGTAGGCGGGCCAGAAACCGAAGCAACACACACGCAGTCCATCGCCCTTTACGATGAGTTTCTGAAGTGACTCGAGAGTCCTTGGGGTGTTTTATGGTGCGGAGGGAAGTTGGGCGGAAGACTGCCCGACCGGGAAAGCGAAGAGCGAGGCGACCGCGAGATTTAAATTGACAGATCGTCGCAGGCTGCAGCGAAAAGAGCAAAGCGCACGCACCGACCGCGCTTGGCGTGCGCCGCGGCCTTCCCGTCTCTCTCTCTCTCTCTCTCTCTCTCTCTCTCTCTCTCTCTCTCTCTCTCTCTCTCTCTCTCTCTCTCTCTCTCTCACGTGGGAGTGTCGCCAAACACGCCACACTGTCAGCGCCGCATCGACTCCCTTCATTATTCCCCCGTTACGGCGTGGGGTGGACGCGCCGCCGCGCGAGTGCGACGGAGACGGCGACACTCCTCGGAACCCGGCCGCTGGATAACGGCGCTCGGATTTCAATCCGCGATTCCGCCACCGAGCAGTGCCTTTGTCGCGCCGTCTCCGTCGCACTCGCGGGGCGTCGCGGGGGTGCGAGAGAGACAGCGCGGCGTGGGCGGGGCGGGCGACACGAAGCACGCCGCGGCACGCGCCGACGTCCGGCTCTGCTCTCGCCAAGCCGCGAAGGGAGCCCCGCGAGTTCGAATTTGGCGCGTCACGCGAGGCCGCCGTTGGCCCGCCAATCGGATCACGCAGGCCGGGCCGCGCCCCGCTGCCGAAAAAGGCGACGGCCGCGGGGAGCGGCGGTACCGGTATTCGAACCCGGGCCAGTGCCGGTGGCACGACGCGAACGAGCAGCGCGGTGTAGCTGGGAGCGTTCACGCCGCGCGGCCCGGCCGTCGGCCCGGCGGCGACCCTCCGCCCGAGGCGAGCGCCTGTGAAGTCGGGGGTAGGCCACCACGCGAGGCAGCGGGGCCCGGCGGGCTGGCCCACCCCGCGGACCGCAGGCTGAACCTGGCTGAACCCCAGTGGCTGTCTCGCTCGCACTCACGGCCGGGGCCGGGCGTCCCGCGGGGAAGAGAGAGACAGAATTAATCTCGACGTGGCAGCGCGAGGCGCGGCTCGATTCGGGAATCGCGACAGGTGGTCCACACCGCGCCGCGCCACGCCTCGTGAGTCACTGACCATCACCCACAACAACAACGCCGTCTTGGTCCAGGCTGCTTCCGGGGCCGCGAGAGCAGCTTCCAACGGGGCCCCGCCGAGCTCGTCGTCGAGGGACGCGGCCCGCCGATACGCAAGCACAGGCGTGGGCGGGCATTCGTCACAAGTCTATGCAGCTCCGGCAAACAGGCCAGCCAACTGCGCCACTCTGCGGACGCTTGCGGAACCTGGCGGCGTTTCTGCCTCAGCAGCCCCGGGTACGTTCGGTAGTCAACACGGCAAGCCACGGCGCGGAGCAGCGGACGCCCACCAACAACAGCGAGCATCGGCCGACGACGACGACGTTGCAGTGCTGGACAGCGACGCGGCCAAACAGCGACACGATGCACACCGCGGCGACAGTTTGACAACAAGGCGCGGGCTTACCGGAGGGCGTGCAGAAGGGCGTACCGAAGGCGTACCGGAGGGCGTACCGAGGGTGCGGGTGTACGCAGGGCGCGGAGGGCGTACCGGAGGGGGTACTGGCAGGCGTGCCGGAGGGCGTACCGAGGGGCGTACCGGAGGGCGTACCGAGGGCGTACCGAGGGCGTACCTGAATGCGCCCAGAGGTCCATGGCTGGGTGTGGATGGGCGGCTGGCCGATCGGTCCGTCCGTGCGCGTCGCTCAGCGTCGCTGCGCTGGGCACCGTATGCCATGCCTCCAGTCCATGGGGAGCCATGGGGCCCACCGCGCCGGGCAGACCGAGCTGGCGGCCGGCAGCTGGCAGCCAGCCCTCGCAGCCAGCCCCGCGCCCCGCCCCGCCCCGCGCCCACCGCGGCTGCAGCCCACACAACCGCGCCGGCGTCTCGCTCCCGCCCGTGGCCACCTTGGCCGTGCCGGTGGAGGACGGCACCGCGCTCCGCGGCACCGCGGCCCGGCCGGCGCTACAGCGGCAGACGGAAGCCCAGAGGGAGAGGGGGTCCTGGGGGAGACGCGCACATCGGCGCCTATCTGTGCCGGAAAAGCCGGTCCGGTATGCGAGCTATGCGAGGCAGGGTTCAGGGGCGGGTCGGCCGCCAACGCCGCGAAAAAAGGTGGCCGCTCCGTGTCGACTTGGCCGAAATGACGAGCCTTGCGGCGTCGATGCGTCGCTCCAGGGAGTGGAGCTGCAGGCCGTGCTGCACCGCCACCACCGCGTCGCGCCGCACTCCCTCGATGCCCTCAACCTGCTGACCGCGTCGCACCTCTGGTCTGCAGCAGCCGGTGGCGCCTCGTCGCCCTGTCTCTCTCGCACCCTCGCGGCACGCCCCCAGGGTGCGAGAGAGACGGAGCGACGGGAGCGCGGTCCGGAAGCAGCCCCAGCAGGCGGCGCGCCGCGGCGCCAGGTCGGGAACAATGCCTTCCCAAAGGGGGCGCGGGCGCGGTACCTGTCACTCACTCTCACTCTCGCAGGGCAAACAACAACACGGCGTGCGCGAGAGGAGCGATTAACGCGCGATTAACCACTACACTGCAAGCGCGGCGTGGCGGTGCACTGGGCATTGCACTGGTGCAGCGAGGGGGCGCTAACCGCGAACCGCGGCACCCTATCGCGTGTCCGAGTCCGTTTCCGGACCCTAACCCCCGGCAGCCTCACTCTGGGCAGCCACGATGTCTCTCTCGCACTCGCGGGGCGTCCCCTGGGCGTGCGAGAGAGACAGAGCGACTCTCGCACACACTGTCTCTAAATTCATTAAATTCATGAGCCGGGCGGTGCGCGCATAATCACGGACCGCCGGCCAAATCGGCCGTCCGCCGCGGGCAGCCCGGCCCGCCGTGCCAGTACACTGCCAGACGGAAAACCAATCAAACTGGGAAAAAAACCCATGACCTTTTTTCCCGGCGATTTATCAAGTTAAACATCCGCCATTTCAAAAAGACATAAACAGGCGCTCCGAAAGTTCATCCCGAAAAGAGACGAGCGCCGACGACGACTCCAGTTCGCGTCAATCAAACACGGAGTGGCTTCCTCTGCGGACTCTAGACACTCCGGACGGCAATAATCACATGGCGGCGTGGGCCCACGCCCCGCCCCGCCCCGCCGCGAACCCCGAGTCGGTCCAGTCCAGTCCCAGCAGCGCCACGGAATTCCAGGGCTCTGGCGGTACGGTAATGCCTTTGCCTACACTACTGGCGACAGTTACAACGCGCGGACCCATTTGGCGTGCGTCGGCTCTCTCGCGGCGCCACTGCAAAAAAAGGTCTCTTTTCTTTCAAGTCGAAAACCAACAGCGCCGGCAGCGTAGCGGCGCGTGCGCGTGCGAGGCTCGCGCCGAGAGCGGCACGCGCGCCGCTTCGGTGATTGCGCTATAGATTGAGAGACGACCGCGGCGTGCGCGAGCGTGCGCAAAACAGCGTCCGCCCACGCGGCACGCGCGGCTCGAGGGTCTTCTAGCCGGCACGCTCGAACAGTCGTTCCGATCCTTCCGCTGCTCTTCTGTCTCTGTCGCACTCGAGCGGCGTGCCGTCGGGGTGCGAGAGAGACAGAGCGACGACGTATACAATTCGGGTGAATCGCTCGCTTTGCATTTTCCGGGAAGGCGCGGCCCGATTGCGAACAGTGCTTTCGATAGATCGACGCTCCGCCTCCGTCGCGCACACGGGTGCGAGGAGGACAGCGACGGAGCGCCGCTCGGGGCCGTGACGCCGCGGCACGCGCGATGGGAGGCCTACCTCCGGGCGGACAGTCCGCGGCCCGCGCAGGGAGGGACTTCCCTCCAGGCCCGTCCGGGCCGCCGCACCTTCGGCCAATCGGATCTTCGCTCGAGTCCATCCACTCGCCGCAACGGATTCCACCCGCACTGACTCAAGGAAAAGGGGCGAAACTCGACGCAAGCGGGACAAGCAGAGAAAGAAAGACGGAGGAAAAAGAAAATGCAGGCGGTCCGAGCGCGCCTTGCTCGGCGCACCGCGCACGGCGCACGAGGCATGCAATGCAGGACAAGCGCCATCAAGCGATAAGCAGCAGTAAAAGCCAAGAATAGCGGCCAGCAATCTCCTCGCCGGCGGCGCGCGTCGAACCCGCGACCGCGACGCCCGCCGAGCGCAGCTTGCAGCTCCGTCTCCGTCGCACTCGAGGGCGTGCCGCAGGGGTGCGAGAGAGACAGAGCGACGGGTTGGCTCGGCGGGCGCGGCGCGTGGAGGAACGTACTTACATGCACAGCACGGTGGCTGGAGTCCCAGATCGGGGCTCTTGACGGCGACCTAGTTCGACCCTGGCCACGACGGCCACCCAAAGCAGTGGGACTCACTCTGCGTGGGCGTGGTGGGGGTGGCGGCCTTCCTGCCGTGGCCGTCGCACAGGCGGCCCACCCTGGACGCGGTGCTGGCCGTGCTGGTGACGCTGGCGATGCTGCTGTTGCTGCCGGCGAGGCTGGACGGCAGCTTGCTCCCCGGCAGCCTGCTGGTGGTGGCGCCCGGCGGCTTGATGCCCGACGGCTTGGCGACGGTCGCCTTCGCGAGCCCCGGCAGCTTGGACGGCGGCGGCATGGACCTCCCGGAGCGCTCGGACCGCTCGGAGCCCGCGGAACTCCCGACGCTCGCGACACTGGACACGCTCGCGGCGCTCGACATGGTCCCCGTCTCCGTCCCCGACGTCCCGGACGCGGGTCGCGGCGCGGGCGCGGCCCCGGACTCCCCGGACCCGACGGCACTGTCCGGGGGCACTTCGGCGGCGGCGGCGACCGCCTCGGGCTCGGACGCGCTCCTCTCGGTCGTGTTCGGCATCCTGGAGGCGGGCAGAAAGGGCGCGGTCAGGACTTCAGGTCAGGCTTGTGTGCTGCCACATGAGCGCCAGCACTACCTCCAGCACTAAATCTAGTGCATTAACTAGAGTTCAGACTGCACACTGCCAACTCTGCAAACTGGACTCAGAACGGGTTCAATTTCTTTTTAAAGCGCAAGCACTTTGCTCTCCACGACAACCATTACAGTACTACAAAAGAGGGCAGAGTTGGCAGTCAATAAGCATCTACGGATTTATTTTAGACTGACTGAACCACATGATGGAATACATCAGAATAAAAATTATTTCAGGAAATAAATTTATTTGTATTTTACGATGAAAGATCTGTGCTTCTTAAAATTATTACGGCCTTCATTAAAAACATGGACACTTTAACAGCATCCAATAAATGTTTCAAAGCAATTTATTTACGAGGCAAATTAATTCTTGTTGAATAACTAATGTCAGCAAAAATATGTCTCAAAGCGAATACATTCAGGGCAAATTGGCACATAAATTACTCGTTTCACACGACCATAACCTGTACATGATCAACCTACATATGAAATTACAAGTTACGCCACACTGTTCATGACAAGTGATATACTTACGTCGTGATTAAATCATAATGTTCCAAGAAAAACTACTGTCAACAACACAATGTCATCGATAAACTTGACACATACAAAAAATAACCGACATAAAATTTGACGAATCAACACTCGCGCGACACGGAATTCAACTGTTGACAAAATAAATGAAAAATACCAGCAAGACATAAATTTCTCATATCAGTACTCCCCTCCCCTCTCCCCCTTCCCCCTCACGGACCCACGGCGGCGGTGCTCGGGTCCAGCTGCCAGCGTCGTTGTCTGCTGCGCTAATTTTGTTGTCTCTGTCTCAAAATGCGTTTCAATCTTCTTCAAAAAGACCTCAGAAACATATCGAAACTGAAATGAAACTTGTACAAAAAAATGTGGAGAAGGATGGAGGAGGGTAAGTACCTTAACCTCTCGTCACTTATGTCAGGGTTCTTAGTTCTGTTTTCAGCCTTGAATTCTTCACTTTCAGAGGGTTAAACTTTCAATTTTCCATCTGTTTTATTATTACAAAAGATTGTAACTTATTGTCATAGTCTTCCTTTTACCCTGTCACTATACCGTTGTTTGTTTTTATTTTGCCTAAGTTCCATGTACAAGCCATGGCCCCTTCTTTATAATTTGAAATTTATTTTTTTCCCTTTTAAGGAGTGTTACGCTGGTTCCGGAGGAGCCGGAGGATATGTGGCACGCTTACAATCTTATAAGTGAGGGTGACTCAGTCCGTGCGTCCACCATACGGTAAGTCTCAAAGCTGAATCAATTTGAATTTCCTAATATAATTCTTTAACTTCTCTACATGACTATGTGGTGCATATTTCCACTTTCAGAAAGGTGCAAAATGAGTCTGCAACAGGATCATCTACAAGCAACCGCGTTCGAACCACCCTTACTATCAGTGTAGAAACAATTGAATATGACGTTCAGGGCTGCATGCTTCGATTGAAAGGAAGAAATGTGGAAGAAAACCAATACGTTAAGGTGATTTATAACTGTTTATTTATTCTAAATCCATTCTCTAGGGGTCTGTGAAGATAATGTTGCTAAAGACCATCTTAAATTTCAGATGGGAGCCTACCACACATTGGACTTGGAACAAAACAGAAAATTTGTCTTATTTAAACGGGAATGGGACTCCATTGCACTAGAGCGGGTAGACATAGCATGTGATCCTACTAAGGTCGGTGCATTTTTTTAGTTATTTCTTTTAGCTTGAATCTATCTATCTAACTTTTTTTTTCTGTTACTCATTCCTGATATGGATTTTCAGAACACAGATTTGGCAGCTGTTATCATGCAAGATGGCCTTGCTCACATCTGCTTGATAATGGCATCCATGACATTAGTCAGAGCTAAAATTGAACAGGCCATCCCAAGAAAACGAAAAGGAAATGTAACACAACATGAAAAGGTACAAACAAAAAAAGATGCAATTTTCAATTCGCACAGGATTGCGCTCTACTCATAGTTTTGACCTTTGTAATTTGTTGCAGGGCCTTGCTAAGTTTTTTGAAAGCGTGATGCAAGGTATACTCCGGCATGTTGATTTTGATGTAGTTAAATGTGTTATCATAGCAAGCCCTGGGTTTGTAAGGGACGCATTCTTTGAGTATGTGATGCAGCAAGCAGTTAAAACTGACAATAAGGTCCTATTGGAAAACAAAGGGAAATTCCTCCTTATTCATTCCTCTAGTGGGTTCAAGCATTCATTAAAAGGTATGTACTGTATGTGTGTGTGACATCTGCCCAGAGCTGGTGGATGGACTCCTTGCATGAGTTTCATTTTTTTTTTACTTCCTTTACAGAGGTACTTGCAGATCCCAGTGTTGTGGCCAAAGTGTCTGATACTAAAGCAATGGGGGAAGTCCGGGCTATGGAACAGTTTTACACTATGCTTCAAGTTGAACCAGCCAAAGCCTTCTATGGCTTGAAACATATCCAAAGAGCTTGTGAGGCACAGGCTATAGAAACTCTTCTCATTTCTGACAATCTTTTCAGGTAAGGTTTTGTTTCTGTACATCCTGTGTGTTCTGTGTTTTAAAAAATGCAATGTGATAATTGATCTTCTTTATATTTTTTTCAATATAAAAATATTGACACAGGTGTCAGGATGTAAAGGAGAGGAAACAGTATGTGGCTCTTGTAGATGGTGTGAGAGATATGGGAGGTGACGTGAAGATATTCTCAAGTCTCCATGTGACAGGCGAACGTAAGTTGGGTCACCAAGTTCCTTTGTTATTTATCAGTGAACAGTTAATTATTGTGTGGATTTCTTTGCTCTCTAGAACTAGCCCAATTGACAGGAATTGCTGCCATCCTAAGATTCCCGATGCCCGAGCTAGAAGATGAAGATAGTGACGCCGATGAGTGAGGAATAGAATTTGCTTTTAAAATTACCATGACTACGGGAGTTCAATATGTTTTGGCAATACCTGGTGTAATCTGAAACCGATTCCTGTCTCCTACAAACTGGTTAGTAGGGCCTTTATAGATGTTATTTATATTGTATTATAGTGGTTGGGTGGTTACTATTGAAAGACTGCAATTGAATGAATTCAATGAAATAAAAAGGAATAAACAATAATGAAATTCTGTAATTATATTTACCAAAACAGAAAAAAATAAGTTGATACACAGTACAGTCTCTCCTTACCTATACATAATCTAATCATTTCCAACAATTTAAGCTTGAAGCTGAGCTGCAGCCTTTTTCTTTTGTATCCTAGTTTCCTTCTTAGAGGCAGACTGTTCCGCCTCCACACGTTTCCTCTTCTGCTCCAAGCGCGCTGTTTCCTTGCCCCACTTCTGTCTGTTGTCCATCATATGTCTGTATAACTTCCTGTGTTTATTTCTAATCATCTTCTCCCTCATCTTGTATTCTGCTGTTTCTTCACGTTGCTTAGCCAATGGATCCGGTTTCTCCATTGTCCCTTTAGTCACAGCCATTCTCTTTTTCTGTGAAAAAAAAAAGTACATCAATTTATTGCAAATACCAGTTAATTTAAAATTAATTTAAGATTTGAAAAGAAGAAAATGTATCTTACCAGTTTCAATCTTTCCTTCTCTTTTTCATCAAGAGGTTGTCCATTCTCATCTTCTTCCTCTTCCTCCTCTTCCTCATAGTCATCAAGATTGACAGAATCGATGTATTCTGCCTCTTCTTCACTTTCTTCCTCATCTGATTTTTCTTCATCTTTATCTGCATCCACCACAGGAGCTGAAAAGGAAGAAATCGAATCCAATTACACATGTGAAATCTACAGTTGGAAAGGAAAACTCAGGCCTCTCCCTTAAAGAAGAAAAAAAAATACCTTCTCCTTTCAATGCCAACTCTTCTGGAGGTTTATACCGGTTGTCCCTTGTTCCATCAAGGAAGGGTGATAGATGAGGAGGCAAAATAGCTCCCATCAGATAGCGTTCAATAGGCAACAATACACCTGCATTCACTGAATCAAACACCCACTGTGGCTGAACATAGTACCTACACACAGAAGAAAAAAAATTACATACCTACAAACAGTCTTTAGACTAGCTTCAAAAGAAATGAAATGAGTACAAACCTTGAGATGTACTGCTTTTCCATGCTTGGCCTGTCAACTATTTGGTGAGTGATTGTTTCGTCATCTTCATCAAATGTGGCACCAACAAAGAGTCGCTTGTCCCATGACACAGTGCCTCCAAGAGCTCGGATACAAAAGACTACAGGTTCTCTCGGTACTTCACGATTAACAAAAATTTTCACACCTTCGAAAAGAGTTTTAAGTTTTTTCCTGTGTTCTATTTCCTTCTGAATTTGATCCATTTTGTCTGGGTCTTCGGACTAAATTAAAAATAAATTTTAGATCAAACAAGTTTTAGGATGCATTACAAACATAAGTTGTTCAGCAAAGTAATCATTGACTCACCAGTGTAAACTGATCCAGCTCCTGCTCCTCTTCATTGGCATTTCCAGAACTGTGAGTCAGCTCCACATTTAAAGAGGCTATACGTTCTCCATAATACGCTCCTTCGTCCGCAAGTGTCTTCTCAATTTCATCACCAGACAACTGGCTGAGTTTTGGTGGGTAGTATAAGTTAAGTTGGTGGTACAGGCGATAATTCACAAAGCCTAATAGAACACAATAAAATTCTACAAAAAATGACATAGTCTTGAAGTCAACCTCAACGGCAGAGTCAGGCTGCAAGAGAAGAAAAAACATGTATTAGCAAAAATTCACACACGTACAACACTTGTAAAATTAAATAAGGACCAGACTTACATTGAATGAGAATTGATGAGGGACTATCCAAGTGACAGTCTCTCCCTTTAACTCAGCTTGGAAGTAGTACCCCTTAATTGAAACAAACACCTTCCTAAGTGCTCTGGATGCAATAACTATGTGCAGGAATTCCATTGTCAATCTCCGACACATCGCACTCTGATCTCTTGGAACTGCATTAAGTGAAGGAAAAGTAGAAAACAGGAAGAGGAGTGTCAAACAATCATCCAAATCCCTGATTGCATCAATGAAAGATGGGAAGCGCTCCTTTATAATGTGATCCAGTTTAATTTCTGGTCTCATTTCTAACTGGCGCCGATACTCTTTCATATTTCTCATAGATACAGCACGTCGCAACTTTTCAAAGTGAGGCTGAAAAAAAAGAATTGGAATGAGTAACTTGCAGGAAACTAAGGTCACAAGAGGAAAACTTTCTTAAGAAGAAATACAAACCTTGTACTTTCGCATTTCCCAGATCATAGGCTCAGCTGCAAGGAATTGAATGTCTTTCACAGCATATAATGTCTTGAATCCAGTGGCACCCCTTTGAGCGATCTTCCTCTTCTTGGGCTCTCTGGGATAAATGCCTTTTAGGATACATAGATGTCTGAAATTTTTCAAACTGAGCTGAAGCTTCCTCAACGCCTGAGTTCTTGACATATATTGTGCACCCTCTCCTGCCTTGAACTGCAAAACAAGCAGACACAAGACACAACGCGTTAGAAATATGTAACAGTATATGTGAAAACGTCAAGACTAAGATACAGAGACAATTACTTGCTGATTTATTTACATAATAAACCAACACATTGTGAACACCAGCACGAGAGGTTAGAAAAGCAAGTAAATTGAAAGTTTTCAGTAACACTGCCAGTGATACTGCATAGAACTACAACAAAGCGCATTTTGAATCAATAAAAAGGTCTTGGAACATAGAAATATAAGGAAAAGTACCTTCTTCTTTCGAATTCCTCCCATTTTGACGGAGATGTGAGTTGCACGTGTGTATCTTGACGAGTTTACGAACACAAGGACTGTCGTGTGGATAACGCGAACCAAAGGCGGCGGAGAGGGGAGGGGAGATCCACCTATTCGCAGCGCATTCTCGGATTTGATGAAAACAGAGCGCTTGAAAAAGAAAGATTTTGGACAATAATCGGGAGTGGATTTCAAACACATCCGTGTGTGTTCTTTAGAGGATCTTATTGACTATGTGTTAGGCCTATGACGATGTTTTATTTTTTTCTCATTCGAGTGTTGGTAGTGCGGAATCCCAAACAGCTGCAGAACGCCGCGGAAGTGCAAACACGTCGGGTCTCCTGCAAATTGCAATCCGAAATGGTCGTGCGGGTTGCGGGTCGCAATCATGCGTTCTTTTCGTCGCCAACTCTCCTGAAATTCGACAACTGCTGTTTAGCTCAGCGTTCCGAACCCTCCGAACCTGTTCTGTTTAGCGCAGGCCTTCCTCGGATAAGTCGACACAGTCGACACCGGCCAGCCGCCTCGGTTTGGGTGTTTGGGTCGGACCCACCTCGACCAGCTTGGGAACCGTTTCGGCTCCCTCGTTCTCTCTCGCACTCGCAGTGCGTCCTGCAGGGGTGCGAGAGAGATAGCGGCGAGACACATAAACTCGCCGGCTATCGCGTCTTGATAGGCCGCCCGTAATAGGACGCGGCGACGGCGGCGCCCGAGCCCTTCTTTGTAGGGCACTAGGGCACACTGCCTTGGCTGCTTCGACCTTGGGGCAGGCCAAGGACGGCCCTGGCCCTCGCCCGCAGCGCGGCCGCCCTTCACCGCCATCGAAGGGCCCAAGGCCGCGCGTCGCAACCGGGACCTGGAGGCGTCATCGGTAAACCAATGTTCACTCGTTGACACCCCACCTCTGGAAAGACCTGCCCCCTTTTTCCACTCTGCACGGGCAGGCCGTGGTCGCCGAGCCTAGGCCTTTCACTGTCGGCCATCCGGCCAAAGAAAGACGCGGACGGGGAATGCGCATCTCTCTCGCTCTTTGTCTCATTGTGCGACACGTGCATCGCTCTGCTGCCGCCACACTGCGGTGCATCCGCGTCAATTCAATCCACGCGCATCTCGCGCCGGCTCTCTCGCACGTCCGGCAGCGTAACGGCAGGGGTGCGAGAGAGACGGAGCGACGAACCAATCAGCCCGGTGCGCTGCGCAGCGCTGCGCCGATATCAGCGCGTGCGGGTGGCGTGCGGGCCTGCGCGGGCCAGGGCCACAGGGACAAGAGGGGCGCGGACTACGCGGTCTCCGCGGACGGACGCCCCACGCCGCCCTCTCTGTCTGTCCCGGCCGCCACGCGGACTCTAGTGCGGCCGGGCTGGCTGGCGGCTGGCGGAGGCAGGCAAAAGGCAAGAGGTGTCACGACCCATCCAGTCCAGACAAGCCAGGCTGAAGACAGGCAAGCCGGGCAAGCAAGGCCCAGTCGCACGCCGGGCCGACTCGAGGAAGGTGCTGAGCAGTGAGGCCAGGCAGGCAACGGGCACCGCGGCACCAGGCGGCACCGCCCCCAGCCCCAGCCCTCAGGCTCTACACCACCATGTCGCCGAGCGGGACCGCCTTGTGGCTGCTGGCGCTGGGCGTCGTGTGCTCCGCGCAGGACAAGCCGGACCAGCCCGTCATCGTCTACTACTCCCCCGCAGAGTTCGACAAGCCGACGGTCTACAGCGTGGATGACACCCCTTCTGCTCCAGTGGACCAACTGTACGATCCTGCCGTCTACCTGCGAGCCGCAGCCGCGGTCCCGGAGGTCGCGCCTGTCCTTCCTACTGCCCGGGCCGTCGCCGCCACCCCCGCCGCCCGAGCCACCCCCGCCGCCCCCCGAGCCACCCCCGCCGTCGTCCGAGCCGCCCCCGCCGTCGTCCGAGCCGCCCCCGCCGTCGTCCGAGCCGCCCCCGCCGTCGCCCGAGCCGCCCCCGCTGCCACCAAAGTCACCCCCGCCGCCGCCAGAGCCACTCCCACTGCCGCCCCCGCCGGCGCCAACTCCACGGCGTGGCTCCGCGCGGCGCGCGCGCCACCGCCCAAGCAGCGCGAGAAGCTCATCTTCGCCGAGGAGTTCAACAAGCTGGACCCCGAGGTGTGGGGGCACCTGGTGACGGGCTGGCGCGGCGGCAACAAGGAGTTCCAGTACTACCGGAACGACCGCCGGAACAGGTCAGTGCACAACACAAGAAAACCGCGGCCCGTCCCTCTCGACGGCGGGCCAGCCAGCCAGCCGTTGGCGAGGGAACCGAAAATTAGGCAAAAGCTAGCAGGCGAATAGTGACAGGTACTCTGCCATTCATGAGTGGGTCGGCCTCTGTCAGCGGCCCGGCGGGCCCGGCCATCTCATGAATGATGATCAACATGATGTGGCCCGCGCAGCCCGCGGCCGGACCGCGTAGCCGCGTAGGCAAGCACGGCCAGCTTGTCGTGGCTCGGCGTGGCTCGGCGACCACAGGCAGGCCGGCAGTTAGAAGGCGGAGGCACTGCGGCAGCGCGGCGGCAAGGCACCTCCTCCCGACGTCAGGCAGGACCGCCACGCCGTGCCGGCACCGCGCGCCGCGCACCCGCCGGCCTAAGTGCGGAAACCAAAGTCGTCATGGCTTTGGCTCACCGTCGGCACGCCGCCTCATCCACGCCACGCCGTGCCGCGCCGTGCCGCGCCGAGTGGCCTTCTGCCTGGGCGTAATTATACCTCTCATCCCTCGATGCCGGCCGCCCCGCGCTGCCCCGCGCTGCTACCTCAAATTAAACAGTTTGGCCAAAATCTCGGGCGAAATGTTCGGATCCCCCGTCACAGCCACCCCGAGTAGACGCCCCCTCCCGTGTCAGGCAGAGGGCAAGTAGAGGGAAGTCCCAAACTGAAAATCACCCAGTAACCGCGTCGCGGTCCTGATCGAAACGCCACACCAGTCCCACAAGTCCCGCAATCAGCGAGAAGCTAGGCAAATTTAACTTTGAACCGTTACCACCGCTCGCGTCAAAAGCAGGGTGCTTGTAGTGTAACGGTGCGAGTAAGTCCCGCCGTTTTCGGGGTATCTTTTGAATCTCGGACAGAAAGGCCGCGTGCGTCGATGTGTCTTCGGCGAGGAGGCGATGCCTCGGATCCAAATTTGATGATGAGGGCGATGTTCTCGTCTTGTTGGTGCAGGACCGACCGTGCCGTGAGTGTGGTGCTGAGCCCCGGGGCGGGGCGGGGCGGGGCGGGGCGGGGCGGATCAGCGGGCGTGGATGGCAGGGTCAGTGACTGGACTGCTGATAATCCGTTGGCGATTATAAAGCAAACAACGGATAGGCCTGCTCCTGGCTGCGGGGCCGCTGGCCAGCAGGTGCGAGCAGTCTCGTTCTCGTCAGCTGTAGAGCCGACCAACCTCAACGCCCCCCCCCCCCCTCCAGAGGAGAAGGGCGCTCCCCTCCCCCTCCCACTAATCCCATTTTCCGTCACACTGTAACTGTGTAGTGCACCCTTCCCTCGGGTTGAGTGACCTGGTAACCTGTCCGCACGTCGCCGCCCCGCCAGAACCTCGGCGTCGACTCGACGCATCAAACCGATAGGTCGATTTCGAGTCGAAACGGCACAGCTGGCTGCAGCTGGGTGCGTCGGTGCAAGTCTGCCTCGGCCACCTCGGCCTGCCCGTGGTCTTGATGACCGGTTCGCGTGGCATTAGGTCATACTAAGCACTGCTAAGCACCTCGCTGCAACACATCTCGGACGGCATGACAGAGGCGCTGACCAGTGTGGGCGTGGCCGCGCGCCGCCGACTCGAGGGTCGCGTTCAAGGACAAGGTGGCTTTGTTCGACAATCCGCGACAAGCCGCGACGCAGCCCGGAAAGGGCCCGCGATGATGGAGAAAAACGAAAACAAAACAAATGTCTATCGCTAATTGATCAGTCGGGGCGACGGCACGGCGCCACGTGCCGAAGACGCGAGCAGCACACGAAGTGGTCCCTGCTCACGAGGACGATAAGCACTCGCTCGTGCCGCCGAACCGAAGCCGAACCTGCAGCAGACTCATTCCGAGAGTCGATTTCGTCGCTCTGTCTCTCTCGCACTCATGGGCCTTTCGACCGCTACCGCCTTTCGGACACTCGCAAACCTTGCGGAACCTTGGCGGCTGGCGGCCGTGCTCGTGCTCAACGAGGCCGTGTGTGTGGTGGCAGCACCGCCTTGGCGCTGCCCCTCATGGGTAACTGGAGTTTTCGAATTGCCTGGCCGCCACCGAGGTGGCCGACGACTCTCTGACCGCGGTGGTCACTTCAGTCGCCCCAAGTGCGGCCGGCACGCCGGAAAGATACGCCAGTCCTTCGCGCGGGTGCGGCCAGTGTGTGGTCCGTGTGGTCAGGGCAGCGTCAGCGCTACCGGGTTGGCGTTTGGCGCGCGCGACGAAGAGGCTCTCGCCGCAATGGGCCTCCAGGGCCTCCAGGGCCTCCGGCAGGACCGGGAGCGTCAAACCGCGGTCGAACGGCAGTGCTGCCAACCGCGGAGCGAAATGACGAACGGCAAGTCAGGAAGCGCAGGTTGGCATGCATGCGGCGGTCAATTATGACGCACTTCTCCTCCTCCTTCTTCTTCGGTGCCCTCTTCACCTGTGCGTATTAACCCCATTTACTGCTATCGGCGGCCTTGCGTGTGCGCGTGTGGCCCCGTGGCCGGCCCCCTCGCGCTAAAAGGCTACAAGATAGCAGCCGTGCGATTAGCAACCAGTCTTGCGAACATTGCGAACCGGGGGAAGCACCATCGTACTGCCCTTGCGCCGCGCGGAATCGGTCTGCTGGAGTCCCGGAGTTCAAGGACAGGCGGGGCGGAGTGCAAATGCACGGTGCAGCTCGGCTTTTTAAGGACTGCCCGATCCATTGTCGTGACTCGACGCGACACGGGACGGACGGGACGGGTCGGGCTGCCGCCTTCGGCCTTGCCATGTTCCTCACTGCTAAAATGCAACAGATTCTAATTGCGTAACCCACTGTACCATGATGTCACGACGTAGTGCCGCAGTGCCGCGGGGTTACTTACGGTCCGGCTCCGCCCCGCGCTCGCCGAACGACCGACGACGACGCACGGACAACAACAAAAACAAAACAATGCGCGTGTCAGAAAACAAAACCCATCAGCGGATCGCGGGAAAACAAAAACAATCTGATCTCGACGATCCAGCGATCAAGTCACTTTGCCTTATATGGGTCACCGTTTGTTCGCCAGGGGCGTATAAGTGCGAGAAGAAAGCTGTGTTTTTGTTGCTGTTTTTTTGTGGCTGAGGGGGGAACTGTGGGAAGGTTGCCTCGGGGCCTTGTGAAGATTGACTTGATTTGTCTAAATGGATCGGTCCTCTCTCCGCAGCTACGTCCGCGGGGGCGCCCTGTTCCTGCGGCCCACGCTCACGGCGAGGGAGTACGGCGACGCCTTCCTGTACACTGGGAAGCTGTACTACCCGGACTGCAACTTCGAGCCCTGCGTTTCGTGAGTACTGAACGCGCCATTACTTTGTACTTCGCCACGACCGCTCCGCCAAGGACGCAAATCGCGCTTAACGTCAAGTTGGCGGCCTTCCTCGCTAGCCAGATTCCTCGGCTCCGCACTTTGGCGCGAATCCTGCGCTGCGTTTCACCGGAACGGTTGCATTCGGTTTTTGCCGATACGCCGCTGGCGTTGGCATTGGTTTTTACTTCCGATCAAAACGGAGGAATTGAGTTCTCACGCCTCCGTCCACTCCATGCGTGCGAGAGCTCGGTTTTTTAAGGTGTGGGGGCCATCGGGTCCGCGACGTCCGCCTCAAGGAACAAAAGGCCGTCGATGGCATCTGACGTTGTTTTGTGTTTCAGGGAGTCCGGGGAAGACATCGTGCTTCCGGTGCAGTCGGCGCGCATCAACACGCGCGGGGCCTTCAGCTTCCGCTACGGGCGCCTCGAGGTGCGCGCCAAGCTGCCCCGCGGCGACTGGATCTGGCCAGGTCAGACAGCCCTCCTCGCCCTGCCTCTCCACTGCATGAGGGAAACCGACTAAACTGTCCTCGGTTCGCAGCCATCTGGCTCAAGCCGGCGTCCAACGCGTACGGCGCCTGGCCCGCCTCCGGCGAGATGGACTTGGTGGAGTCCCGCGGCAACGCCAACCTCAAGCACGTCCGCACCGGGGAGACGCAGGGCGTGCAGAAGGTGGGCGCCACGCTGCACTTCGGGCCCAACTCGTCCTACAACATCTGGCGGCTCACGCACTGGGAAAAGTGAGTACAGTGTGCCGGCGTGACAGTGCAGTGGCGCTCGCGTGCGCGGTGCGCTCACAGTGTGTCGCCGTTGCAGGATCCTGGAGAGAGGGGACTTCGCGGACGCGTTCCACGTCTTCGGCATGGAGTGGTCGCCCGCCGGGTTCCGCTTCACTGTGGACAGGGAGGAGATCGGCAGCATGCCCGTGCCGCCGGGCGGCTTCTGGGACCTGGGGGGCTTCGACAAGGACCCCGGCGGCCCCAACATCTGGGCCAACGGCACGGAGCTGGCGCCCTTCGACAGGAAGGTGCGCGCTCTTCTCCTGCACTGGGAGTCACACAGTGGGCCGGGAGACCCGTGGAGGCGGCCGAAACTCTAGACGCGTTTTGAGCTCTAGAGGCACTAAACAGGACTCGAACAGAATGTGTGACCCCACCAATGGATTGCTCTGCGAACGAGGAATCCATTGGTGGGGTCACACGTTCGGTTCGAGTCCCATAGCGACTTTGTAGCTCTAAACGCGTCTAAAATTTTGGCCGCCTCCACCGGTCTTCTCGAGCTCCCCGCTCACGGCCTCCTTGTTGCAGTTCTACATCATCCTGAACGTGGCCGTCGGCGGCACCTTCTTCCCCAACGGCATGGTCAACAAGCCCTACCCGCGCGCTTGGAACTGGACGTCCGGCCACCCGCTGCGCGAGTTCTGGGAGCACCGCCACTGGTGGCTGCCCACCTGGAAGGGGGAGCACGCCGCCATGCAGGTGGACTACGTGCGCGTCTACCAGAACGTGCCGTGACAGCCTCACACCACAACCCCTATGTGATATGCTTCGCGTCAACGCACAGTGACCTTCGCTGACGTCACATCGGCGTACGCGTCACCAGGACGACATCTTGTGAAGGAAGTTCGACGTCGCGTCGGAGTCCCCCCTGCGGTCACTGCGCCGCGCTGCGCCGAGACGACATATCTGTGATGAACGGCTCCAGGAGGCCATTGCGGTGGAACGAGTCCCTGGAAAGTGCAGGGCGCTGACCGGGGGCCGAGTGTGGAGCCACCAAATTCAGTATAACGATAGTGATAAAAGTGCAACGTGATATAGCAGTAGCGTCGAGGCATACACTGTCCAAAAAGTTGAATGATGTATCGACTAAAACTTAGTAGATCTTAGAAATGACACACCGACTAAGAAAGTGCCCCACACACTGTCAACGAAACTCACTAGTTTCAGTCGTTTCCACTTATCTTTTTGAACAGTGTAACCCCGCCATGATATAAACCCTTCGTGCAATCGGCTGTCACATTCCTGCAATGTCGCAGCTCTCAATGAAATTCCCTCCCGGCCCGTGGAGAGCTCAACGCGCGGTGTGGAGGAGAGAGGCGGTGGGTGGTGGGGGCAGCGCGCGGCGGAGTGGGGGTAGCGCCGCACGCCGCGGTGGCGCCGCCACGCCACGCCACTGTAGGCCCGTGGCTCGGCGGAGCGCAAGCCGCGGCCGGGCCACCTCCTCGCCGGCCTGCTCGCCTGCTACAAAGACCGCCAAAAACTGCGAACCGAACGTGCGGTCGGGGGAGGGGGGTGGTGGGGAAGGGTGAGGGGGTGGAAGGGTTGAGCCGTGGCAAGTGGAGGGCAGTGGAGGGGGCCGGCGGCCGGCGAACGTCGTTTACGGACAGACCCGTGCTTTCCCGACCCACCGTCAGATGGCGCTGGCGTTCCCCTCCCCGCTGACCGGGCTTCGCGCGCCCCTTTCAAAAATTAAGTTGCTTGTTCTCCTCACGGAGATTGGTGGGAATGTGAGACAGCGTTACTTTTACGGCTTAGATTAAGACTTGATTGTATAATTTATTGCAGAAAATTGTTATTTAACAGTTCTGTAAACTCTAGTACTTGCCATTAGTAAAAATACCACAGTACAAACATGATGAATCAGGAAGTTTTTTCATGATTTGGGAGACTCTTGGTTACTTGGAACACATGACCCCGTTCTGCTATACCTTGCATAATCTTGATAATATTCTTGCAGTCGTCTGGAAAATCCAAGCAACAAACTCAAGATCCATGGAACCTGTGTATCATTTTTGACATTCAATGACAGTTAGGGATTTTACCTATTCCACTATGGAGCCTTCCCTCATGCTGTAAATTTAATTGACGAAGCATGTCTTTAATGCCGTGGGGATACAGACCAGTAGCGTTCAAAAAAGACTGGAAAAATAAAACAATAGATAAATACAAGAGTAAAATTTGTACCATTTCTTTTAAAAATCTTTTCAACTCAAACTACCTTTTTAATATTTATCCATGACGTCATAAATTGGGGAATGGGAGTACCTGAGAGCTTGCATTGATTAGGCAACATTTTCATGAAGTCCCAATCACCACAGGTTACAAAACACGAATTTGGATGTGGCGTCCTGAGATCTACATCACTGGCATTAACCCACGCTAGAAACTTATCAAGCACTTCAGGGAATGTTAATTTGTCATCAACCATATCCTACAACAGAAAATGTCAGTCAAGTTCAAGTTCTTTGTTATAACTTTAACCTAAAGTTTGCAGTGTCTCAGTACTTGATGAATTCCTGTGAGGCTTGTGCAGAAGGGCGTTAAAATTGGTCGAATCACAGGTCGCACATACATATGAAATGTGTCTAGGGTTTCGAAAGTGTTGGCGTTCACTTTGAAACACGGAAACTCGATAATTTCCTGAAACAAATTATTTGTGTAGGATATGGGTGACAATTTTGGATTTGAAGAAGTAAAATGTAATGAAAGCATGTTACCATGTCTGGAATAAAGGCATCATCACAAGTTGCTTCAAAATCCACTACTAAAAAATACTTGAAAATTTGGGGCTGTAACCTGGACTGCTCTTTCTTTTTGAAACGATAGTAGGTGTTGACTGGCATCACGCTTCGTCTATATGCAGCTCGGCATTGATAACAAAAAGGCTCACTGAGCTTTTTGAATAAAGAGAATGTCAAGCGACAGCAAGTCATAGCAACATAACACTTCTTCTAAAATTAAAAGATAAATCTTTCTTCCACACATCAACGAATGTTTACAAACCAGCAAGCAGCAGAAAGTTCTTCTGCTACGATATGAAAAATTATCATTCAACACATATCAAGGATAGTCCGAAAACGCTTCTATTGAAGAACTGTCACGGAAAAACCTTAATTTATTAGACATATGGGTGTCTTACCCACATGTTCAACACAATTGACGTGAATGACAAAGTGAATACAGACTGAAAACACGTCTCTTTGGATCTAACTCTCTTCGGTTTCGGCTGAGCAGTTTTTCATCCATCGTTTGATACTGCTGCTGCCGATAAACATAACCCCTCTTTCAAGTGGTGTGGTGGCGCAGTTGTCCTCGTGCTTCACGAGTGCTGCGCATATTTGTTTTGTTTACTGATTAATTCCCGTTCTAATTGTAATGTAAGTGTAGTTTTCTATATTTGAGTGTTACTTATGCGTGAATCAATGCATCAAAATCCAAAGTCACTGAGTTTTAAGGTTGTGCATTTCGAGTTTTACTGCTCTGTGGGTTATGTCACGAAACTGCATTGACATTTGTCAATATTTGCTCTAGGCTCATAGCTTTAACTTCTTCTAGTATATTTTTATTGAGTATTTTATTGTCGCAGTGGAAGTCCGCAGTTAGTCGAACAATTCTGTCTTTATCCTTCTATCATCCGATTCAGCTCTTTTTATGGTAAACGTCTATCATAGAACTTTTCTGTCTTTGTTTCAGATCCAAGATGGGGAAAACGTCAAGCAGGACGGGTCCTCCCCGTAAGGAGGGTTACATCAAGAAGCATAATCACAGTATGAACCCCAATCGCAGCACAGAAAATCTTAAAGGAGTTGCGAACCCTCGTTCCAAGAGCACAATCAACCGTTTGCAGATGTACAGAAACTTTAAAGCAAAGCGAGCCAAGAATGGTGAAATGCTCCAAGCAGCGCCTTTCCAAGGATGGGTCAATTCAGGAACCATGGCACGAGTCGAGCCTAATCCAAAGTGGTTTGGCAACTCCCGTGTCATTGGACAGAGTGCCCTTCAAAAATTTCAAGACGAACTTGGGACTGCCATCAAAGATCCCTACCAAGTTGTCATGAGAGCCACTAGGTTGCCTGTTACCTTGCTCAATGAAAAGGCCAAGAATGCCCGTGTGCACATTCTTGATACTGAGGGTTTTGATAAAGTCTTTGGACCTAAGAAAAATCGTAAAAGGGTGAATCTGAAATTCCGAGACGTTGAATCACTCACTGAAACTGCATCTACAACTCAAGAAACATATGACAACAGTAAGGATCATGACCTTTTGAGGGATGATGGAGGTGTGAAACAAGCCACAAGTGAATGGATTATGGGTGCAGGTCTGAGTAAGAGAATTTGGAATGAACTTTACAAAGTAATTGACTCATCGGATGTTGTCATCCAAGTTTTGGATGCTAGAGATCCCATGGGCACTCGTTCACCACAACTGGAAGCATTCTTAAAGGAAGAAAAGAAGCACAAGCATCTCATTTTTATTCTGAACAAGGTGGATCTCATCCCCAATTGGGTAACTCAGCGTTGGGTTGCAATCCTCAGTGCTGAATATCCGACCATCGCCTTTCACGCCTCTCTCAATCATCCATTCGGAAAAGGCGCTTTAATCAACTTATTACGTCAGTTTGGAAAGTTACATGACGACAAGAAGCAAATCAGTGTAGGTTTGATTGGTTATCCAAATGTTGGAAAGAGTTCTGTAATCAACACACTTCGGTCCAAGAAAGTATGCAAGGTTGCCCCCATAGCTGGTGAAACCAAAGTTTGGCAGTATATTACATTGATGAAGAAGATATTCCTCATTGATTGTCCTGGTGTGGTTAATGCTGTTGGAGAAAGTGACACAGACAAAGTTCTGAAGGGAGTAGTCCGGACTGAATTAGTTGAAAATCCTGACGACTATATTCCTGCTGTAATGGAAAGAGTACGTAAAGAATATTTAGTTAAGACATACAAAATTGATGACTGGGACTCTCCTCAAGATTTTTTGAAGAAGTTAGCTCATAAAGGTGGTAAGCTACTGAAGAAAGGAGAACCGGACTACGCCATTGTTGCTCGTATGGTTCTAAATGACTGGCAGCGTGGCAAGTTACCATTTTATGTCCCTCCTGCAGGGTTTGAGAACCCTCTATCGGCAAAGGCTGTAATCGAAACTGCCCCAGCAGCAGACAAAGTAGTAATAACAGAAGCTGCAAATGGTGATGTCCAAGTGTCTGGAGAAATCAAGAAGGATGACCCCAATCCTTTCCAGATTGTTCAGGACTTCTCACAAATCAGAGTTGTGCTGGACTACAACAAGGAAGACAATCCATTCCCTACAAAGGAAGAAAAGGAAGCAGCTATGACCAGAAAGAAACAGAAGATTGAAATGAAAGAGGCAAATAAGAATAAGAGCAAGTATGTGGCTCACGACTCAGACTCATCTGAAAGTGATGTTGCATCGGATGATGAAGATGTTCGCAATGACCCTATACCTTCCCCAGTCCAGAAACCACAGCTGAAACTTACCAGCAAGATGCGGCGGCGCATTGAGCGTGAACAGAAACGAAAGAAGATTGGAAGTAATTTCTATGAAGTCGCTAATGTTAAAAACAGAAGTCATAGGAAATGAGCTGCTTAGTCAATTGTGATACATAATTATTTTCTTTGGTCTATATTACTTTTTGTCCCTTATCAAATTTCAAAATTTTGATTCCTGTTGAACAAGACAAAGTGTATAAAATGCATATAAGTGCTCGTGTTATAGAATTGTGGGATGTGTCAGTAAACAGTGTATTATAATAATAATAAAATTTATTAACATACTTCTTTATGGTTTCATTTTCAAAGGTGCATAGACATCTATATAGTAAAAATCTCTTTATAATATAATCAATCTTAACATTATCAGTCAAGCACAATGCAGTGAATCACAGTCAATTACAGTTCATATGCGTACATAAGAGTTATTGAATTTATCAAAGGATTCTAGAAGTATAATTTGAAAATCTTCCAACAGAGCAGAGGCCTTTCTTAAAGTAACTCCTATATTATTATACCTGAGAGTTCCCTGATTTATAATTTATTTGAAACTAATATCACATGTGGACAATATATTGTATTTCAATCTACTTCAAAACCCAAAAACTCTTGGAGATTATACCCAAAGAGACGGAAGTCAATCTCATAGACTGAGTATATTTTGCGAAGAAGATCAACCGTCAAGGAGCCAAAATATTTGCCAAGAGTAGCGGTAGTGTTTGAGGGTCTTGCAAATCGAGGAAAAGCAGATGGTGACTCTCCTAACTGATGCAATAAGTAGTCTGCATCTTCATAAAGTGTCTCATACTTGCCAATGATGTCATAACGAAGTGCACATGGTGCACAAAGCTGATGAATTGGTTTCCAGTGTTCATTGTATTCACCTTCTGGTCCACTTTCTGTAGTCAAATATGTGACAAATTCAGAGAAGGTAACATCATCTCCATGTAGAAGCGAGTGATTGGATGGGTTTTTCCTGTATGTCTTGACTAAATCAAACAGGCAAAAGATACAATGATTCAACACAAACTCAACTTGAAAATATGACAGTAAATTCAATTTCTTGCGTCTTACCAATGTGTCTGCCAAAGCGAGTCTGAAAATATTTTGAGCTTGAATATTGCTGTTCCAATTTGTTTCGATAGGCTGAAAGAAGGCGTTCAAATGGATGTCGAACGATTAAAAAAGTGGTATATGTTCTTAACATATGAGTAGCATCCTCTATAGTAAAATTTGCTAATTTAGGAAAAACTCCTGTTCTATGAACAAAGTCTGCGGGAATGTCCAGCGATCTTGTGACATTTGAGGTTCCGGATAAATACAAGAGAGTGCGTTTCCAATTTGTGCATGCAACCTGAAATGATAATGAACAAGAGAATATTTAGCCTCATTCAAATTTTAAACACAGCTTCAAATAAATTTGCTCCATGTCTGTCTACTCTTACCTTTGGAACGTAGCAGTACAGGAGCTGATGCTTTTGATCGACAATAATATGCTCCAATACTTCTTTGTTGTCCCAAATGGACTCTGGAGTGTAATGAGACGCATTGAGTTGCAAGGCATTTTGCCTTCTTTTGTAAGCTTGACATTCCCTCTGCAGTCTGTCCTGGCGCTCAATGAAGACTCCTCGTTCTAAGAGATCAATCGGCTTAACTGACAACGATTTCTCTTGCATGGAATCTAGGGAGAGATTATTTTTATGAAGACTCAAACTGTAACTATGGTTTTTAAAGGGAACTTGTACTTCAGCTTACCAGGTTTGTTGACAACGAGCAGCGAAGAACCCTGATTGCCAAGGTAAATGAAGCTCACAGTCAGACATATGAATACCACAATGAGCAGAGAGATCTTTTCAGGTAATGATGTCATGCTCTTGTCTCACACTTGCAAGCCTCACAGTAATCACAGGGGGACATCCGGGCCGCATCTTTCTCCGACTGCCATCACTGGACGTCGCTGGGCACACCGCCACCACCGCTCACAGACACGCACAACCACCGCATGTGTATGTAGGTTTCTGGGGCCAACTTGTTGTCTTCTGGAGTTGTTGTTTCACTGAACTTGACCGTGAAGCGTCAAGGCCGCTGTGGTTCCTCCTCGCTCTGACCTCTCCTCTCCTCTCCTCTAGTTTGACAGACTCAAAAGCCTCTCCGCCTCGTCCGGCCACATCCTCCCGTTCTACTCCGATCCTGCCCTCATTTCCCCCTCGGATTCGTCGCCCCGCAGGGGAGGGGAGGGGGCACCGGGACGCGGAGTACCTGCCGGGGGGTCCTTCCCTGCCCCTCCCCCCACCCCTCTCACCGTCTAGACGTTAAACGAACACACCCTCGACGTGGTCACTTTTTCTTTCCTCCTGCTTTCTAGGTCAAGGCGCGCTGGAGGCGCCCCGCCCCGTGCGGTGGGGCCGTGAGGCGTGGATAGACCATGGGACAGCAGTATCGGGACTGTGTTTGGGTACGCGCCCAATGTGGCAACGACGCACGCGGTCAGGACCCCGCGGTACTTTCTAATCACTCGGCGGGGAGTGCCCACGGTGCCCAAACGCCGCGCGTCGCCGTGCGTGGACGAGTCTCGGTCACCCACAGATAGAGTGGTGGAGGCGGCGCGGGCCTCGCGAGGCTGCGTCTGGAGCCTGGGCACTCTGTCTGCCTCCGTGGCGACTCGCCCCGACTCGCCGCGCAGCGCAAGCTCGGGCGTAACGGTCACTTCGGGGACACTTCGTGCCTCTCCGACGCGGAGCTCGTCTGCTCGGCTCGTGTTCAGGAAACAGGAATCTTGGGAAGGAGAGGGAAGGAATAAAAAACTCTGCCAACTGTGTAGTCATGTGGGTACATTAAATTTATTCTCAAAACTCATCCGAAGAAAACAAATTTATTTCACAGTTTATAATGCTTCTTTGGCTGACAAACAAGCCGTCATTATACTCTGGAATGCGCAGAACTTGCGTACAAATGGCATCTATTGTGTATTTATTACTCATAAGGTACGCCTATTCAATATAAAATGAATACATCAGCAACTCATTTGGTACACATTTGGTCAAAGTGTGTAATTCAATGGCTTACAACAAAATTATTAAAATCAAATCAGCCCCGGCTGTGAAACCGAATGCCTCTTAATCTTAAATTACTCTGTATCCCCGCGGGGGAAATCAGTCGTGTGATCAGGTAATATTGCGAGAATTAAAGTAAAGAGGTGTCTAGTCGATTTCACAGCCAAAATATTACCGAAACCCGAATCCTAGTCACTATTTATCACTGAGCACCTAAACAAAGGTTTTACATTAACACGTTCAGCGGGGGCCGAGTCGAGCTGGGTCATGCCGGACTGCGTGCGGCTGGCCGGGACGACGCGGAGACGACCCTGGATCGCCATCGACCGCAAATTTTCTCCATTCAAGTTTCGGCGAGGCAGGGAGCAGACGGAGACTCTCGCCCGGAGTGCTCCGCGAGCGCCTGCGAATGCGAGGGTAGGCAGCGCCGCAAGACACGCGAGCGTTGCGGGCTGGCCTGTGCTGCACGGCGCTCGCAGCAGAGCGAACCGAGCGACAGGGCAGGCATCTCTGCGGCCGTGAGATCAGAGCAAGTTTGAAAAGAAGAGACAGTTTAAATCCGGAGTGTACAGAAACCTAAGCTGTTAAAACACTAATGTCTATCTACCGCAGCATTTTGGTTTTCAGCTGAGCGTCGAAGTGCGTCGAAGGCACTCCCCCTGCACTGGCGGCCCCCACCCCCACACGCTTTGAGATCATCTTACAACCTACTACAGCAGCTGGAAAGCTGGAAGCACCCACTCACACCCAATCAACCAGCCAATCAATGAATCGATGAATCGATCATGCAGCAACCAAGAGCCGCACGAACGCGGCGCGGCGGCTGGCTCTGGAGGCAGCACCCTTTGTACTCTATTGTAAACATGGCGGCCCCCCGCCCACTCCGTGCCGCCGGTAGAGGACGTCCACGAAAGCGACAGTGCAAAGCGACGTTGTAAGAGAGACAGGCAACCCAACTTCGTGGCGTTCGTCGACCAGGGGCGCGAGTTGGCGAGTGGGCGGTTCATGCTTCCGTGTCCGCGCGCTGATTCCTCACGTTTCAGTCCGAAAGACGGGCGTGTCCCGTCGGCCTCAGCAGCCGAGCTGCTGGCACTGCACGCCCACCTCGGTGCAGCGGCACTCCAGGCACGGCCCCGACAGCTCCTGGATGATCTTGCCCACGCGGTACATGCGGCCGTAGATGTTGCAGCCGGCCAGCTTGAGCAGGCCGGACAGGCCGGGCGCGGGGGCGGCGGTGGTCGTGGGGGCCGGCCTGCGCGTGCTCATGTGGTGCTGCTGCGCGGGGTAGCTGCTGCTGCCGCCGCCGCCGCCGAGGGCAGCCAGGGCGTCCTGCAGGAAGCTTGGCCTGAACTTGGTGCCGCCGAACAGCAGTGAGGGTCGCATCGTGGCGAGGGGCGCCGGGGTCGTCGTCGTGGACGTGGTGGTGGTGGTGGTCGACGTCGAGGACGTTGGCGTGGACAGCGTCGAGGACATCGTCGTGGACGGCGTGGTGGTCCGCGCTGTGGTGCTGGCCCTCTTCGTCGTGGTGCTAGTTGGCCGAGCGGTCGTCGTGGACGCCTTGGTCACTGACGGCTTGGTCGTCGGCGGCTTGCTCGTGGTGACCGGCTTCGCCGTCGGGCTGGGCTTTGGCTTCGGCGTTGTCGGCGCCTTCTTCGCGGGCGCCGCGGGGGGCTTGGTGGTCGGCGGCTTGGTGTCCTTCTGGGTCGTCCGCACCGACGCTGGCGTCGTGGAAGTAGCATTGACTTTTGCGGGCGGCGGTACCGGCTTCGCGGTGGACGACTGCTTCGGCGTGGCTGGCGTCGTCGTCGACGTCGTCGAGGGCTTGCTTGTGGACGGAGGACTTCTAGCGGTGGTCGGCTTGGTGGTAGACGCCGCCGTAGTCGCGGGCGACGCTGCTGTAGTGGTTGACGGTGTGGTGGTAGGCGGCGCGTTGGTTGACGTGGGGCTTGTGGCGGCCGAGGTTTTCAAAATGGTCGGCGTCGGCTTGGTGGAAGACGGCGGCCTTCTTGTCGTCACCACCGGCGGTGCAGTCCTCTGAGGCGTGGGCAAGGTGGTGGTGTCCGGCTGCATGAAGAGCTCCAGGAACTTGTCGAACGAGAAGGAGTCCTCCTCCGCCTCCTCCGGGGGCTTGGGGGCGGCGGGCGCGGCCTCGTGCTCGTTGGTGGAGACGAAGTCGTGGTACTGCACGTCCTCGTCCACCTTGTCCTGCGCCTCGTTCTCCGACTCGTCCTCCGAGCCCCAGAGCGCGTCGAACAGGGACGTCGGCGTGGTGGTCGGCCTGGACCAATGAAACGCATTGTGTTGTGCAACTGCTTTGGAATGTTGAAAAAAAATTAGCGAATTCAAACTTACCTTTCTTTCCGCACAGGGGCCCTGGTCGTAGCTACACTGCTGCTTGTCGAGGCCAAAGTCACTTCAGTCCTGGGCGTGGAGCTAGGGGCCTGTGTCGTGGTGGCGTTCGGCGCGGGTCCGGCAGGCTTCTGGGTAGAGACCGGTGGCGTGGCCTTGGTCGTCGTCGTGGTCTTGGGGGATGTCGTGGTGGCCTTGGGGGTCGTCGTCGTGGTCCTGGGTGTCGTCGGCCGGGTCGTCGCCGGAGCCTCGGTGGATGTCGTCGAGGTTGTGACGGTGGACTTGGTCGAGGACGGCACCGTCGCCTTGGTGGTGGAGGCGGCGGGCTTCTTCGTCGTCCAGCCTGGCTTTGGCGTGGTGCTCTTCGTCTTCAGCGCCGGCTTGGCCGTGCTTTTGGCGGCCGGTGCGCTGGTGGTCGTAGACGTCGTGGTTTTCCGCCGCTGGCCCTTGGTGGTGCTGGACGCCACCGTCGTTGTGGTGGTTGTCGGCGCGGCGGTCGTGCTCGTCGTGGTGGTCGTCTTCGACGGCAGAGGCCGCTTCGTCGGCTGGGGCGTGGTAGAACCAGGGACCAGGTCGGACACGGGTTCGATCCCCGGCGGCCGCTCGGGTACTTTGGAATGCACGCGGTGCGGCTCGTTGTCCGGGACGTTGTCCGGGACGTCGGCGAACAACAGCGGCCTGTCTCGGGTCTCCTCGCCTTCTGTTGAGAGGAATGAGAATCAGAAATCAGGCCCCGGCCAGGAACACTTCGATGCATTTTAAAACCAAGAATGAGTTTCAGTGCGGAAGGTCCCGTCCCCCAGGACTCCAGACGGGTGCAGGTGCATGTACAGTTCCATCGCTCCATCGCGCCTGGCGGTGGCAACCCATCGCGCGCCGGACGGGTACTCGCTCCTCGAACTTCGACCCTCCCGGCCCTCGACCCCCTCGACCCTCTTCGACTCACCGCAAGTGATGCTGCCGCAGCAGCGCTCGGGGTCCCTGGACGGACTCCGGCTGCACCCGGGCGGCACGACGCCGCACGACGGCTCCTGGCACACCACGCCGCCGTCGAAGCAGAAGCACATGCGGCACGCCCCCATCCCGGTGAGCAGCTCGCCGTGGCGGTACCGGCGTCCCCCCGACGTGCAGGCGGCTGAAAACAAAACAAAACAAAAAATAAAATCGATTGCAGAACTTGCGGCAACGGCGTTGCGCACGGTTCAGCGCGCTCTTTCAAATTTTGGCGCGCTTTGCCGGCCGCCGACTGGCGCGAAACGTCGTCAAGGGACGATCGTCATTTGTTGTTGAGTGTTGTTGTGGTTTTCTGGTCCAGGCGCAAGTTGTGTGATCTTGTCTACGTTCTCGGAATTCGTTCAGTGGCAGCTTCTTCAGTCCTCAGGATTCCATAATTTTGGTGAGTGTGTTGAAACTTTTTTGCACCCTTGCGTTTATCTCTGGAGCAGAACTCGTAAACATGTGGTCTCAGAACAACACATAACCTCTGGCGCCGGCTACTGTGGTTTGACACACGCTGGGTTTTATGGTGTGGATGCCCCTGTACTTTGGTGGCTTTGTCTTATGTGTGGAATACTGGTCCCCATTACCTTTTGTCTGCGGGGCTCTTATACTTCTACTCACCACTTCCTCCATTTCCAAGCAAAGGGTCTGGTGTTACAGCATCGGGAACAACAGTCCTGATTGTGACTTCTGGCGTTTGAGCCTTGACAGGAGTAACCTTTTGTCCAGCTTCTTTTTTGGGGGCATCAGGTTTGTGCTGATAAAATGGCCCATCGATCACTGGTTCTCGTGGGACGAATCCTCCTGGAAGTACCGATTCAAAAGTTAGTATTTGAAAAATTGTCTCACACGAGCCAACATTTATTATTACATATATAATCCTGCTGAATAGTTACCTTCTGTTTCTGTTGGTGGTGAAAAGAAGTAAAAGTTGTCAATTTTATCCTGAGATTCTTTTGATGAGGCGACATTTGATGATTCAGGCAGAATCTGGCCTCCATCCGATGAGGTTTTTTCCTCCTGAACTACTGCGTCTGCTGCCACGAAAGGGATAATTCTGCAAATAAGACGTTTGCTTTTCTTTCTTAATTTTAATCAGAGTCTCACTTCATTTGTTTCTGAATGAATAATGAAAACAGTTGTGCATTGAAGTGGTCATTCTTTCTAGTAATAAATTTGTATTTCATACCTCAAATTTGGCAATGATGGAGGTAATGAAGGTTCATTGTAGTCATAGTCATAATCTTGATCCTTCTGCCGAGTCTTATTAATTATCGCCTCTATCACTGGCAATATTTTATTTTTCTCTGGGAAAACTGTGTTATTTTTTATCTTCAGTAAATCCAGATTGTCTCCAAGATCAAGTTTAGTATTTAGTGTAATTGCAATATTGTCTGCAATCCCAGTCATCAGTGTGGTAGGACTTTCATCTGGTAATGGTGGCTGTGTTGTTAGTACAACATTTTGCTCAGAACCTTCCATCTCATTTTTTACCTTGCCTGTATCTTTAGTTGATATCTCTCGATTACTCCGTGCATCAAAGCTGATGGATCGCACAGAATTTTCTCCATTTGAAGGACGGCCAATGGAACCCTATGAAGTGTTTTAACATTGATAATGAGTCTTGAGGATGAGTTAAAAGATAAAAGATGACTCTTGCTTTCAAGAGAATTCAATCTTTGATTTACCTTTGTTTTGTATCCTGTAGCTGCCGTCACTGTTTTTGTGATGCTCACTCTTGACTTGCCTGCAAAAATAGATTGCGGCCCATAAATTCCAGTTTCCTCCACAGTGCCATAGTTCAGAGACTGTTGGTACTGACTGCAGTCGTAGGACACCGGGCAGCACCTGCCGGGCGCGGTGACGGGCTCGCAGCCGTCCAGGGGCAGGTCGCACTTGAGGGGGGCGCAGCGGACGCGGCCGCGCATGCAGAAGCAGGTCTCGCAGCGGCCGCGCGCCACGGACTTGACCTGCGCGCCGTCGCGGTAGCGCTTGCCGTCCACGGTGCAGCCCGCGGGGCGGCGCGGCGGCGGCGTGCTGCTGCTGGCGTTGCTGGCCGTGGCGCCGCACTGGTAGCTCGTGGGGCAGCACGTGTGGTCGCGGTACTCCGGCGTGCACCCGGGGGCGGGCAGCACGCACTGCGGTCGCACGCAGCGTTGCTGGCCGCGCACGCAGTAGCAGTAGTCGCACAGCGTGGACGACGACAGCGCCGAGCCCTCCGCGAACAGCGACCCGTTGAGGTAGCAGCCTGCGGCACAGGACAAGTGTTCTCTCTCTCGCACTCGCGGGACGGCGATGAACTCTGCTCGGAACCACTACCCGGTCGCCGAGCGGAGAGCGCCGGGAGGGCAGGCAACCCATCGTGCTCGCTCGCCGACTCCGCTTACCTTTGTTGGGCGCGTCGGACCGGTAGCGCGTGCTCTGGCCGTGCCGCGCCTCCAGCCGGTTGTCCACGACGCCTGGGAGGGACAGAGCGTGATGAGACACTGGAAGTGCGCGTCGCGGCGCGTGGACCATGCGTTATGCATGTGGTTACGGTGCGGCCTAGGGCTGTGCCTTGTGATGTTCGTCACGTACCTATCTCGGGGCAGTGCAGCTCGGGGCAGCAGGCGTGGGCGCGGTGCAGCAGCACGCAGCCCGGCGGCGGCGGGTCGGGCAGCGGGGCGCACACGCGCAGCCGGCAGACGGGCGCGCCGCGGCGGCAGCGGCAGCGCAGGCAGGGCTCGTCCTTGACGGGCACGGCCTGGCCGGGGCGGTAGCGCGCGCCCTCGAACAAGCAGCCCGTGCCCGCGTACGCGTCCAGCTCGGCCGACTCGGCCGTCGGCGCGGCGCCCGCGGCAGCGCGGCCCGCCGCCAGCAGCAGCACCGCGGCCACGGCGGCCACGACGCCGGCCACGCTAGCGACGCTCAGCGCGCCGGCCGGCGTCGGCGTCGAGGCATGGCGCAGCATGGGGCGCCGGAGAGTCCTGCAACCAGACGGCCAACATGAGGGCCTTGGCCTTGACGCCGTTGGGGCGTTGGCCGCGGACTGCCTCTCTCGCACTCGCGGGGCGTCCCGTTCAGGCGCGAGAGAGACAAAAACGACTCGCTGACCGTAACCTCGGCAAACTGGCCGTAACCCCGTCCTCGCTTGCGGGTCATCGCATGGCCGTGCCATCTCCTCGGCCGGCGTCGCCCGGCGTCGGCTGGCTCGCTGAACTTGGCCTTTCTCGAAGTCCTGTCTGGGTCGGCGCGTCCGCCGCTCGGACCAACAGGGACAAGGTACTCTATTCCGAGCCGCCGGGGTCGGGCCCCGCCGGCCCAGCCTATTTGCATTCGGGCCTGAAGCATTGTGCTTCCCGTTAGGGCGGACGGACGGACGGACAGACAGACAGACAGACGGGGAGATGACAAACGACGCTTCATGCCACTGATCATGAGTTAGGCTCGTCTAGGCTCGTCCTGGCTCGTCCTGGCCGCAGGGTCGCGAGAGAGGAACACCGATCGCACCACCTGCAGGTTCATCCCGAGCGGATCTTTGTCTCTGTCGCACTCATGGGAGAGCCTTCGGGAGCAGGCGGCAGTCCCTTACTCGAGATTAAGTCCCGAACGTCGCCATCTAATGACCCCCGCTCCGTCAAATTGACCCGGGCGCCCCGTTTCGTACTCCATGATGTTGGCGTGGTGGTTCATCGCAGGGCCAAATTTCTGTGAAGAATTCCTTGAAATGTGTCTGCGCGTCCGTTTGATTGGGTTGATTGACTTGTTCATAATCCCCCTTTCCACTGCCGAGCGCCCCCCCCCTCCCCCTCCCCCTTCCCCTCACCTTTTCCCTTCCCCCTCCCCTCCTCGCTGCAATCCAATCGGACAATTAAACACCGGAGCGGAAGCCGCCAGATTAATCGAGTAATGATGATAATGGTTTAATAAACCGTCCGTCTGGACCGCCAAATTATGGTTTGACGCTCCACAGACAAAATAATCCCTTTGAATTTATTTTCCGTTCGAACTTTGCAGAGCGGAAGGAATTTGGTTGTAAAGGCTGTGATTCGCGAGCGGGTTAGTGTTCTGCTCGCCGGATGACTCTGGCGAAGAGGGCATGAAGTCGTTCCCCCCTTTTTTTACTGAAACTGGCCTTTTTCTAAAAAAAAAAAAAAAAAAAAAGAAAAACAGGGACGAAACTAAAAATAACCAGCCACACTACTGTTGTGGTGATTCAATTGGTCGCGCGTCGTCACTTTTCTCGGCCCTCTTCGCCTCAGTGGGCGGGGATCGGTCGCAACCAGCGGGTCACGTCGGAATGGAATGGCCACGGAATTTTATTTTTATATACACTCCTTTCCCTGTTTATTATGACAAATTTCTACATTTTGCGGGGGTTTATTTCTAAAGCGCTTTAAATTCAAACTTCCGAATGGGCTGCCAAGGAGATGGAGGGCTACTATTTAATTTTTCTTAATTTTGCGTGATCGTTCGCTGCGAGTCCTGTGATGCGCATTCACGTACCGCGCGCGCGTGTGTGTGTGTGAGTGTGTGTGCGCGCACCGGAAGTGTCCGCGTCCCCGGCATTAGAACATGCGAAGGGTGCCTCTTCCCCCGTTATGAGAATCGCGGCCTTTATCCGACCTTTTTCCCGGCCCCTCTCTCTCTTCCTCTCTCTCGTTCTCTTTTGTTGTGTTGCGTTATTTGCGATTACCATCTACTGGCTGAAATTATGTTTGAGTCTCATGGGTGCCATCCTCTTTCCTCCAGAGACCGTAATTTTAATAATTTTAATAATGCCCTCGTACTCTGTGTGTGTGTCCGTCAACGAATTTGAGGTACCTACGCGGACCAGTAAGAAACGACTGTAACGACGTTCCCACTCTGGGCTATCTTCTGAACTGGTGGTCGTTTTAGGCCCCGCTCTCTGCAAATCCAAAGTGCGGCCACCCAGACACGGCACTGCCGTCTGGCACGTCCGTAGAGAGTTCCACCCGACCGGCCTAGCCTCGCTGAAGGGCGACTGGGTACGACCCATTCGGCGAGCCTGAAGTGTTGCAGGAGGGAGAGAGGAGGAGGAGATTCGCGCTTCGATTTATAGTGATGGCCCGGCCGGCCCCGCTCCGCCGGGCCTTTACGGACGGCCCCTGCCCTCGCCGTCTCGGCTTTGCCCGGCGTTGCCCTCTAGAACCGCACACCGTTCGTCAGCTACAAAGTAAAGCCCTGGACGGGACGGGCTGGGCTAGCTGGCTGTCTCGGCCGTCTGGCTTGGGCGGGGCGGGGCGGGGCGCTGTGGTGGCGTTACAGCCTGCTGGGTCGCGAGGTGCGACGTGGAACGCCTCTGGAACGCGGCAAGAACGACTCCAAGAACGTCGCAGAGCGTCGCCAGGCTGTCGAAATACGTACGTACACTCTGATTCAGATTCATTTTGCACAGCTTGTTCAGATCCATGGTGCATTTGCACTGGCTGACCCTCTGTGGGCTGTTCCTTTCCTGTCAATGAAGCCACATTCTCTTGATCCCGCCTGGTCCAGCGGTGCCCCTCCTCCTCCCTCCCCCCGGTGCACAACCGCCAGGTCTCGTCTCGATGTTGGCAATTGCCTACAATTACCCCATTATCGGTTCGAGATACCGTGAGACAGCCAGCCGTGCTATCCTCCGCCCTGCCCGCCTTGCCGTGCCTGCCTGCCGCGCCTCCGCCGCGCTGCCCGAAAAGCAGGCAATGGGACTGCAGTGAAAGATGGTATCGCCCGGATAATGGTCGCTATTTATAAACAGCTTCTGTCCCTTTCTTTCGCTCTTTCGTAGAGTCCGACTGGTTTCCTCGTCTTCTAAACGCCGCTGGAGGGCAGTCGGGACGGTACCTATCCACAAAAAAAAATCTAGTGCAGTTCCAACCGAGCAGAAAAACTAACATTTGGCAAATTAGCCAGATGGTTGAAACTACTTTTCTGAATGACTTCTCTGAGCGACCAGTCTGGATTTGTACCAGCACGGGGCTATGAAGAAAAGACAGCCGCAACCGCATGGTGCTTCCTTTGTATTTGTTACGCGACTCAGGTGAATTTGTCCACTGCTAGGTTCGCATTTTTTTTTTTTGAAAAAAAAAAAAAAACAACAAAAAAACGAAAACCGAATGGAAGTTACTAGTGTAACGTTTCTGAAAACGATGCAGGCCGCCTCCCAATTTGTGAAACGGTCGAAATGAGACGGGTGTCGTCATGGCGGAGTGCGCTAGGCTGCCATTAGACTGTGCACCCCCCCGCCCCGTCCCCGCCCCGGAGACCTCCACGCACGACGGAGCCGGAGGCTGCCTGCGTGCCAAGTGCTGCCAAGTGTCTGCCAAGTGGCGGACATGATGAGCACGGAGGGGGAGCCGCGAAGACTTCCAGTCATGGTTTTCGGTTGGGCCCAAGCCGAGGCCCAAGCCGGGGCCCAAGCCGAGGCCCTAGCCCAAACGACCAGCGGCCCAGCAGCCCAACGGCCAATGCAGTGCGACCGATGGCGAGAAAAATGAGTCCAGTCATGCTGTCCAAATAGGAACGGTCGCGTCGTTACGCTTGCAGCAGTCTGTGGCTTCTGGCGCCTCTGCCGCCGTGCGCTCGGACTTGCCCCGCCCCGCCCCGCCCCACCGCACGTCGCGAATTAGTCGCGGCAATTCTGTCCGATATAGGAGAGACTGCGGTCCAGTTCGCGCCAGTCATAGCAACTGCCAAAAGGAAAGAAAGAGGAAGGTAAGGCGAAGTGTATCCACTGCTGCGGTTGTTATAATAACCAGTGGCTGAGGGGAACACTGTTCAATATGACAGGATAGAAAAGGGAAAAAATGATATAAATAATAATTGCCATTTGTTTGACATTGTAAAAATAACAACAAAAATGTGCTGAGAGATGAGAGATCTCGGCAGTTTGTAATTTGGCAACTAGTTACTGCTAAAGTCTGTCATACGAAACTGAGCAATGTTTGTTTTCATGTAAGGTTTTCAGTCGTACTTTTTGCGAACCGAGTGTCGTCTTGGCGAGTCGACCTCTGCTTTTGGCAGTGCCCTGGCAGTGCCGGCACCCCGGCAGTGCCTGGCAGGCCCGGCTGCCCTGCGGCCCCACCCGGCGTGCTCAGTGCAGGGCACCGGCCCGTTGTGGGGCGGCTCGGCTTGACCCGGTCGCGGCACCACCGCGGCGGCTCATCCCAGTAACGGGCCGGCAGTAATTGGGTTGAGACGTCACCTCATTGAGATGGGCCTGGGCCCGGCTCGGCCCGGCTCGGCCCGGCCTGGGCGACTCGCACGGTGCGCTGCGCTGCTTCGTTTGGCGCAAAGCGTGTGAAAACGGGCGAACGGGCAAACGCAGTGGGAAGCGAGGATCGCTTGTTGGCGTTTTTTTATGTCCCGCGGGGGCCGGTCCGCAAACGCGGTGCGTAACGAAGGGCGCCATTACGACGCACTGCACGCCGAGGCCGTGCCGAGGCGGTGCCGAGTTTGCCCGTTTCGCCCGGAAATGACCTGTTGTCATGGCATCGGACCTTCTCGGCGCGGCGGTATGGACGAACTTGTCAGGAGCGTCGCCGTACGCATGCCACTGTTAAAGCCCAGTGTTTTCGAACACAGAGTCGGAGAGAGAGAGAGAGAGAGAGAGAGAGAGAGAGAGAGAGAGAGAGAGAGAGAGAGAGAGAGAATGCGGGAGGGACTCGGCGTGCTGCGGTCAGGGATGCCAACAAACCGTTGGCAGAGCCTTGCACGACTCGGGCGTCAACTCGGTTCATCAAGAATCCTGAGTTTTGCAAACGACAAGTGCAATGTTCTGAGCACAATGAAGTTTCGCTGTCATCTACATCAGGGTTTATACAGGGCTTGAAAAACCCGGAAAAAAGTCATGAAAAACATGTGTCAGTAAAATCGGGGAAACGTAAGGAAATTTTGCTTGTCAGAGGAAAATAAATTTTTGATCAAAGTGACTGTGAGACAACCACACTTCAATTATTCTGTGTTATTAATTGTCCGTTTAACTTCAGAAAACCAGCTGACAAAGTCCTTTCTGTCTCAATGTGCACTTATTCATGTGACAGACTCGCACTAACAGAGCTCTGCATGAGATAAAATTTAGACTGTGCCCAGCCAGTTTAATTTTTGAGCTTTCCGGGTCGGGGCGCACATTTCAAAATTAAGTCCATAAACAGTCAAACATTTTAGTACTCTTCTTCAATCTTCTGGAATCGTACCTGGACGGCGCCACTCCTCGTGTTAGTGCTCCACTGCACAGTCACTCGCGCACTGTCATACACTGTCACACACACACACGGACGCGCGCGCGGTCACTGTCACGGGCGGGCTTTGCGAGCGTGCGGGTTGTTGCGGCGTCGAGGCAGTACTGCCGCGCCGCCGGAACCCTACCCTACCGGTGGCCGTGCCTTGGCCGTGCCTTGGCGCTGCGGCCCGGCCGGAGTCCCGCCAGCACTGCCAGCACCGCCAGCGACGCGGCGCTGTGACAAGCCACACGCGCCGCCCAGCGCCGGCCGTCTGTCGTGGTCCTCCCTGTCCGCCCACCAACCTACCCCACCCCCTATTCTCGCCCACCACTCAACGCCCTGCTTGTCTAGCTGACGCTGCTCTGTTCCACGTGTTTACCAAGAATTAAACTTAACTTTTGCGTGTTTCAGGATGCCCTTGGAACGTCCGGCCCGTGTTTGCTGCAGTGCTCCTCTCATCGTCAAAACTTGAAGTGGATTTCATCTCCCACTCAAGAGAGAAACGAGGAAAGCGACTTCCCAGCGTGCATCTGCTGCAAGAAGATTTTACCATGAATCTAGAACCTCTTCAAAGTACCTATATTCTGCTGAAGTCTCCTCAGTGTGTTTTTAGCAATGATTTGTTAGAAAACGTGACATCCAAGAAACAGCACCATCTTGAGGGCAAGCGTTTCGATGAGCGCATTGCTCCAGGAAATATTATGAAAGAGCACCCGAAAACCCATACTGAAGAGAACCCCTGCGAATGCGAAGTTTGTAATTTTAGGCTCAAGAGAGAAGATACTCACCGAATTCATGTTCAAACTCACACAGAGAAGCCCTATTTGTGCACGGTCTGTGGTAAGAGATTCTCTAGAAAGGACCCTCTCATGGATCACCTCAGACGACACATTGGGGAAAAGGCTTTCGAATGCAAATTTTGCAAAGAGGGATTTATAACAGCAACTTCCTTCAGACATCATCTTTGGACTCATTCAGATGAGAAGTCTTATAAAAGACCAGATTGCAATGAGGCATTTCCAACAGGAAGCAGTCTTAAAACCCACCTTCGAACGCAAACAGGGGAAATGCTCTATAAGTGCTTACTTTGCAATAAGACATTTTCATCAGGAAGTAAGCTGCGAGATCACCTTCGAACGCATACAGGGGAGAAGCCTTATGAGTGCGAAGTTTGCAACAAGTCATTTTCAACAGGAAGTAAGCTGCGAGATCACATTCGAACGCATACAGGGGAAATGCTCTATAAGTGCTTAGTTTGCAATAAGGCATTTTCAAGAGGAAGTAAGCTGCGAGATCACATTCGAACGCACACAGGGGAAAAGCCCTATGAGTGCGAAGTTTGCAATAAGGCATTTTCAAGAGGAAGTAGGCTGCGAGAACACCTTCGAACGCACACAGGGGAAAAGCCCTTTAAGTGCGAAGTTTGCAATAAGGCATTTTCAAGAGGAAGTAAGCTGCGAGATCACATTCGAACGCACACAGGGGAAAAGCCCTTTAAGTGCGAAGTTTGCAATAAGGCATTTTCAAGAGGAAGTAGGCTGCGAGAACACCTTCGAACGCACACAGGGGAGAAGCCCTTCAAGTGCCAAGTTTGCAGCAAGGCATTTTCAACAGGAAGTAAGCTGCGAGATCACCTTCAAACGCACACAGGGGAGAAGCCTTATGAGTGCGAAGTTTGCAATATGGCATTTTCAAGAGGAAGTAAGCTGCGAGATCACCTTCTAACGCACACAGGGGAGAAGCCCTATAAGTGCGAAGTTTGCAGCAAGGCATTTTCAACAGGAAGTAAGCTGCGAGATCACCTTCGAACGCACACAGGGGAGAAGCCTTATGAGTGCGAAGTTTGCAATATGGCATTTTCAACAGGAAGTAAGCTGCGAGATCACCTTCTAACGCACACAGGGGAGAAGCCCTATAAGTGCGAAGTTTGCAGCAAGGCATTTTCAACACGATTTGACCTAGGGAAACATCTTCGAACGCACACAGGGAAAAAGCCCTATGTGTGCGAAGTTTGCCGCAATTCATTTTCAACAGGAAGTGGGCTGCGATGTCACCTTCGAACGCACACAGGGGAGAAGCCCTTTAAGTGCCAAGTTTGCAGCAAGGCATTTTCAACAGAAGTAGCTGCGAAACACCTTCGAACGCACACAGGGGAGAAGCCTATAAGTGCAAAGTTTGCAGCAAGGCATTTTCATCAGGAAGTGACCTGCGACGTCACCTTCAAACGCACACAGGGGAGAAGCCCTTTAAGTGTGAAGTTTGTAGTAAGGCACTTACATCAGGAACTAAGCTGCGAAATCACCTTCGAACGCACACGGGGGAGAAGCCCTATAAGTGTGGTTTGCAGCAAGGCATTTGCAACAGGAAGTGACCTAAGAATACACCTTCGAACGCACACAGGGGAGAAGCCTTATGAGTGCGAAGTTTGCAATATGGCATTTTCAAGAGGAAGTAAGCTGCGAGATCACCTTCGAACGCACACAGGGGAGAAGCCCTTTAAGTGCCAAGTTTGCAGCAAGGCATTTTCAACAGCAAGTGTGCTAGGAAAACACCTTCGAACGCACACAGGGGAGAAGCTCTATAAGTGCAAAGTTTGCAGCAAGGCATTTTCATCAGGAAGTGACCTGCGACGTCACCTTCAAACGCACACAGGGGAGAAGCCCTTTAAGTGTGAAGTTTGTAGTAAGGCACTTACATCAGGAACTAAGCTGCGAAATCACCTTCGAACGCACACGGGGGAGAAGCCCTATAAGTGTGGTGTTTGCAGCAAGGCATTTGCAACAGGAAGTGACCTAAGAATACACTTTCGAACGCACACAGGGGAGAAGCCTTATGAGTGCGAAGTTTGCAACAAGTCATTTTCAACAGGAAGTAAGCTGCGACGTCACCTTCAAACGCACACAGGGGAGAAGCCCCATAAGTGTGAAGTTTGCAGCAAGGCATTTGCAACAGGAAGTGGCCTAAGAAGACACTTTCGAACGCACACAGGGGAGAAGCCCTATAAGTGCGAAGTTTGTAGTAAGGCACTTACAACAGGAACTAAGCTGCGAAATCACCTTCGAACGCACACAGGTCAGAAGCCCTAGAAGTGCAAAGTTTGCAGCAGTTGGAGATCCTATCGTAAGAATAAAAGTAATAACAATATCGTGTTTTCTGATTGATGGCTTTGTATCACAGTCTTACTTCCAACGCCCGGTTTCAATAAAGCGTATTCATGACAAAGCATTTTGCTACTTTAACTTTTTGTCTAGCAATACGGCATTTTTATGTTCTTTTGGTACTTATTGTGTTCTGTGGTTTTCAAGCCTTCGGAACGTCATTTCAACCAGACTTACTTCAGCCATGTTGCTGTTTCAACAGATAGAGTTTACCCGTGTTATTTCGAGGCTACTGCGGTGTAAATGAAATGGAATTCCCCGTGTAGCTCATTGATTCCTCAAGTGTCTTTGTCGTTCTCTCTTACGGCTTTCTGTAGGGATCGTCTGAGAGCGAATCAGTCACTGTTCGGAAACGTCCCTCTGATCGGGGGCCTAATCTGTTGCAATTCGCGGTCACAGGCGTGGTGGCGCCTCGTCGTGTGGCGCGAGACCTGCTGTGCCAGGGCTGTGCGCGGCAGCCGTGCCGTGCCCTGCCGAGCCACCGCGGGTAGAGCTGGTCCCGTTCAGAGAGGAGGCTACCGTTAGGACGTGTGGCCCGGCCACCTAGCCCACATGATGGCGGCACCGTGCTCCTTTAATTTGCAAAGCTTAAATTAGTTTTTGGTGGGTTTCTAGTGCCAACGAGACGAGTGGCCCTCCCTCACTGTGTTCCGTTCCAGTCCGGCATTTCACTGTGAAAGAGCGACGAGTTGGCAGACCTGTGGACAAACCGCGTTCAAACATGTGCCTGAGCCGCATTGTGTCAGTCGTAGGTGCCGTTTCGGCAAAATGCTTTCGAAAGGGAGAGCAAGCAGTGCGCTAACTGCTGGCACGACGGCCGCTAATTTAAATCCCGGGGAAGCGGTGTGGGTAAACGGCGTGATGACGGGCTTGCCGGAGCGTGCCTGCAAAACTGGCACCGCAAAACTTAATTTTGGTGCGGTTTTCTGCACTCTACCGAGGCCCGCTGTGACGTGGTCGCTGTTGGGTTATAAAATTACGACCGAATGGGCGCGTGCCGTTCGTTCCTACTCCGTGCTGACAGTTTTCTCCGAACTTTGATTCGACCGCATTATTACAAATCAAATTCGCTTAGTTGAGAGAAATAGGGCAGATTTGACTCAAGTCAAATCGGGCAAGGAAGAGGGAATTGTTGACAGGCTGGTGGGCGGATGATGACCCCGAAGTGAGTCCGTCTTGCACAGACAAGTTGAAGTACCTGATCTATACGAAATCACCGTACTAAAAGTAAGTTGGGTTCGGACACATAGGGTACCACTGTGATGTGTGAGTCGTGGCTTGGCGTGAGACGAGCTTGGCTTGACTGACTGGGACATTCACCCCGTAGTTCCCACGCACGCCGCGCCACGCCGCGCCACCATCGCCGCAAGCAACACGCCACAGAGGCCCTTTGCGGGGCCCGGCCTGGCCTGCCCTTCGCGCTCCAGTGCGCCCCCGGGGCCCTCGCAGGGCTCGCAGGGCCCCTCCCCCACCCCGTCGAAGGTTTTGGTGGCGCAACCACTCGCAAATTTCGCGAACCCCACGGGCTCAATCCTATAAGGGTTGTCTGTTTCTTAAATTTGAACAAATTGAACACCTTTCTGCAGTTTGGCGTCTGGAAGTGCCCGGTTCTCACGACCAGGCTTGACTTGATATCAGCGCGCGCCACGGGTGCGTCTTCCTCGCTGACCCACTCGGGCAGCCTCGGCAGGCTCGCCCACACATGAGATGCCCATCTCAAAATTGCAGCTAGGCTGAACCTGTTCGCTTTTGAGGTCACAAAGGCAGGTAGGCGGCTGCAGGCCGGGTTAGGGCGCGGACTGGGGCTGGGCTCGGCAGGGGAAGTGCCCCTTTACCGGCTACTTACGAGTGCGCCGAGTGAAGCGGACCGCTAAATACACATCGGGGCCTCTCGCTGTGGTTCCCATGCTGTCGAGCGAGGCGCGGAGCGAAGCGCAGAGCGCAGCCCGGAGTCCGACTAACTCGAAAAATTATTCTATTGCTGCGGGACTGCACACTCATTACTCCAGTCTCACGTGGACGTCTTTTATTGGCGCCGTTTGACGAGGATAGTAATCATAACAAAAACAATCATAGTAATAATGCAAAAAGGGCACACGCAGTACGAGCTTCCCCGAAACGTGGTGGACCTGTTGGAAATATTCTGGTCGTAGCGAGGGCCAGGGCCGCGTCGGCGTGGAATCGCCCCCCCCCCTTTCCCCCCAGCAACAAAGTGGCGAGGATGTACCGTAATATTGGGCTCGTGTATATGGCACTGGGCGGCCGTCCGTTCCCACACTCCCACGCATCCAGCCACTCGTTCCCAAAGCGCTTCTTTGTCGGCATCGGCTTTCCGCGCAGCGCCCTGTGGATCGTTTTCAAGCTTTCAATAACCGACCCGTGACTCTGGGTTACGACGGAGGAACCACTTCAGTCTAGCCATCAAAGGCCTTCTTTTCAAACCGTCGATTTGGTATTGATTTCGATGAGCTCTCTCAGGTGTCAATGGCACCGGTGGTTAGCTTAATGTTTCGCTCCGAGGTGCTCCGACCTGGGGAACTTGATCTGCAGGCCGTCTGGAGGGGAAGCCACTGCTCCTAATGGTGTGGAGGGGGGCAGCCAACCGGTCGTTGCCGTCGAATGGGTGGCCTGCCTCCCCGGCGCACCGTTCCTTGGTCTGGCCTGTGTTTATTTTCGCTGTCCACGATGCAGAGGAGAGGTAGCGAACGGGAGTCGAACCCTCGAACTCGGCTAAGGAGGATTGGGTCGTCTACTGCCTTCTATTGTTGCAGTCCACTTCGAAGGTAGTACTGTCAGGTCCAAAGATTTTCACCGCTAAATTTTGAACGAAAACAGCTATTTATGTTAGACGGAAAAAGAAATAAAATATTTTTAGTTTAGAAACCCATTTTTTCGAGTTGGCCTGCTTTTGAGTTTGTTTGCTGACGATGTGGTACTCTATAAGGTAACTCCGCCTCTCGTTTCATTCCGGGGTGTTCGATCAGGATGGCCATGGGCCGCGGCAACGTGGTAGGGCAGGGGGAGGAGGGGAAGGGGGGGGGGAATCGGACTCTTGCCAAGTCCTCAATACGAGTTCAATCGTCTAACTAGTGCCACTGGAGAGAAAGTGGTGTGTGAGTGGCGCTGTGTGTGTCTGTTGTGCAATGCGTATCGTTACGTTAGAGACCACTCACTTTGATATGGTCTGCTTCTTATTGCTCGATATAAAAACAACGGGTGGTGGTGACGAGCACGTGTGTGTGTGTGTGTGTGTATGCGGCCATCATCATTCACGCTCCGATTCGTCTCATTGTGCTTTGATTACGGAGCCGCTTGTGTGTGTGTGTGTGAGAGAGAGAGAGAGAGAGAGAGAGAGAGAGAGAGAGAGAGAGAGAGAGAGGGGGGGGGGAGGTACAAGAGTTACAGACAAGCGGACTTGTAGACGTACCCAACCACTGCAGGTGCTGACATCTCACACGAAAGACGCACCCGAGTCCTTCTCCAGCTCTGTTTGAATTGCCCATACGCCCCCCGCCAAGTTTTGACGGTCACTGAACTGACTGTGGAATGGAGGCGGGTGGCATAGCCGTACGTCACAGCAAATCGGAGGCACAAGCGGACATTTTGAGTTCACCACCTCGTACGCCGTGAGAGTGACAGCGTCGCAGCAAGCCACTGACCCCACACTTGTCGATCTGGGTGATCGCCGGTCGCCCAGCGGGGGGACCAGAGAGGGCCCTCCGGGGGGTGCATGCAGGCTGGCGGTCGCGCGCGCCCCGCCCCGGACGGCCCGGATAGAGAAAGCGGTCCTTCCGAGGCGTTTCTCCCGGCGGACGCGTTGCCGGCGTTGCCCGGCCGGACGACATGGCCCCCGACACGGGCAATTGACGTCGACGTCGCCACCGTCACGACGCAAGCAGCCCCGCCGCCCGGGGGGCTTGCGTCAGAGTTTGCACCTCGCCGATGACAAATGTCGCCCGTCCGCGCGCGGTGACAGGCCGCCTTGTGGTCACCCGCCCGGTGATGCAAAGGGTCCTTCCTTTCGCCCAGTGTGCGTGCGGTGTGTGTGTGTGTGTGTGCGTGACAATGCCGAAGAAGACGTCGCCGTTGCATCAGGAGGCACTCTACCCGCACGGGGGACTCGTCCTGCTTTTGCCACTCTTTTTCCGCCCGTCGAGCTGCCCGGTGAGACAAATCCCCAGTGCCATTGCGACGTCGAGCCGCTCGGAGGAAGAATGGCGGGAAAAAGAAATGAAACGACTCTTTTTAAATTAATAAAAAAATAACAGGATGGGCGATTTAATGGGAAAGACTTTGGCGCGGCACTTATGTACAGATGAGATGCGGGGGTGGGTTTCGGCGGGCCTAGTTGCCGACCTGGTCGACCTGCGACTGCAGGTTGGAGATGACCTCGGCCGGGACGTGGTCGCCCAGGATCTTGGTGAGGTCGATGCGCTGGTTGGCGCCGATGTTCTCGTACGCGGCCAGCTCGATGCCCTCCTGCACCTTCTGGATGGTGGCGTCCTTGGGGATGAGGTACGTGTTCTGCGCCTGGCGGATGGCCTCGTTGGTGAAGTAGCTGCCCTCCTTCTGCGGCATGGCGTAGGCGGCGACGGCCAGGGTGGCGAGGATCAGGACGGCCTTCATGGTGGCGGGGCTGCGCAGTGCTGCGGGGAAAAGGGGTAGCAGGATGAGTCACTGTCTACCTGATTGAACTTCGTGGCCAACTTGCGGTTCTACAAACACAGTCTCAGCACAGGACCAGCCTAGGCGTATTTTTGCAGAAGTTGCAGCCCCCCACAGTTTGCGATAATTGACCGCCCACAGTGGGCCAGAAGACCGGCGCCGGCGGCCAAAACTCAAGACGCATTTTGAGCTCCAGAGTCGCTGAACAGGCCTCGAACGGAGCGTGTGACCCCACCAATGGATTGCTCTCCGAACGAGCAATCCATTGGTGGGGTCACACGTTCGGGTTCGAGCCTCATTTAGCGACTCTGGAGCTCTTAACGCGTTCGGGATTTTGACCGCCCCCCACCGGTCTTCTGGCCCACTGTGCGCCCCTGCACACTTCAGTGTCGAATGCCTTGTTGGAACGGTCTCCAGCCGCCAGACCACGAACCGGGTTAAATCGCCTCCATACGTGACGACACTGTCGCGACATCTTCCTGAGGCGGGTCTGCGCTGCTGACGCCGCCAGGCCGTGCAGGACCGGTTTCCATCCAGTTTGTGCAACTGTGTCCCCTCCGCAGTACCTTCTAGATCACAGCCGAAAGCGTTCACCCCGACAATGCGCCCGGCCCCCAGGGTAATCTCAAAACAACGAAGCCATTGCCGGCAACGTCGTGATGCGAGAGTTCCTCCATCCAATTTTTTCGAACCGGTATTCTTCCCGCACGATCCACTTCGACTGTTCGGATTATCGATAGCGCTTCGATAGCGCGGCGATGATCTCGGCCGGCTGGGGGAACAAACGATCCTGTCGATGTTGCATAAGAGAGGCCCCCCCCCTCCCGAACCACACACCTCTGGAGGTAGAAAACACGCAGGACGTTGACCTTGACGCCGAACGTATTCACTACGGCTTTTATGGAGTCGTTTTCACCGAGAGCGCTCGGTCTCGAGCGTGGAGATCGATCGCTGTGGGCTGTGCGGTAAGAAGGGTTCTCGAACAGTTTGCCTGGGTCTCGGACGCGTTCCGGAGCACGCACGGGGCAAACCGAACAAGTGTCTAGAGCACACGTAAGGAACTGAGGAAAGAATCCCTCCGCCAAACCACCAAGAAATTTTGTTTCAGGCCAATGTTTGCTCAGAAAAGTATAATTTTTTTGGTACGGCCTAAGTAGATGCACGAGATTGAACGCGAAGGATGGCACTGCACGCCACTGGGCGTCTTCACATTCTGCAAGCCCCGACGAGCAGCGTGACAGTGACAGTCTTTTGTTGTCGCCTTTTTCGTAACGTCGCATTCGCCTGATGCTACTCACGCAGTCACTTCGCTTGTTGAACAAAAAAAAAAAAAAAAAAAAAAACACGGCAACATAAAACGGACGAAACCGGTTTCACCTAACGTTTTTGCGAACTTCTAGGCGTTCTAGGCAGGGGAAGTAGCCAACGCGTCCGTAGCGGTCAGAGAAGGAGGACACTTTAACCCTTTTTGCCGTACACACGTGCCCTCTCATCTTGGACACACACACACACACACGCGCGCGCGCACACACACACACACACACACACACACTCTGGCACGCGAGCGCGCAGGCGGCGCAGGGACTCACCTTGCCGGTCGGCGAGCTGGTCTGGGACTGTCGTCGCCGCCGCCCCGCCGAGCCTTATGTAGGCCCGCCCCGGCGCCGCCGGCGGACCCGCGGGCCCACAGGCCTGCAGGCCCACAGGGGCCCGCGGGCCACGGACCACGCCGGGCGGTTCGGCAGCCCGATGGCTGTGTGTGCCGACGGGGCGTAACGCGACGAAAAAAAGAAGGAAGAACACAAACTGAAGAGAGTAAAGCGAGCCTAGAGGACTTGGCGCCAAGACCAAAAATTTTAAAAAAGCTGCACTCACAGAAAAAAGAAGGAAGGCAAAATTGGAACGGGGACCTATGATTTTCCTGAAAGTACGCATATTGTTTATCAGTGGGTTCTCCAGATTTTAAAAAAATAAATTTCACGGTGTACCTTAAGGGCGGTGCGCGTCGTTTCTTCGCGAGGATTATGACGGCGGGCGGACGCAGTCGCGAGTCGCGGCGACAAGACGGTCTGTTTGTCTGTTTTCCGGTCTGCGGAATTGTACATCCACAATAGGAGTCGCGGCGCGGCGCGGCGTGGCGTGGCGTGGCGTGGCGTGGCGCGGCGTGGGCGTGCACCGCGGGTTCGTGCGCGGGGCGCTTGGGAGAAACTGAAACTCTCCCCCGCATGGCCTGGCCTGCCGTTTGAAAAGGGTTTGTGTCGTCGAAGCCGAAGCGTGAGCAATTAACTCGTGTACCTGCACACTGATTCCGAGAGTCGGTTCCGTCGCTCCGTCTCTCTCGCACACGCTCACCTCATGCGCAGTGCGAGAGAGACAGAGCGGCGAGAACGACTCTGTCTGCCGTGGGCCTGCGCGGGGCCCTGCTGTGCTCGCCACACAGGCGCGCCACCCCGGAAGAAAGCGCAGGGCTCTCTCGCTCTGTCTCTCTCGCTCTTCCGCGGGATGCTCAGTGAGTGCCAGAGAGACGGGACGAGTCAGCTGGCTGATCCACTGGGGACCTAGCCTGCTGTTTAGCGTTCAGACGGGGTGTCCTTCCAGTTCCAGGTTCAGCCCGTCCGCGGTTCAATGCGAGGAAGGTCGGGGGACAACAAGTCACGCGGAGCGGCTACGGCGACCGTGGAGGATTCGTTAAGGGTTCATCCAACAGTACTTCGGCCTCGGCGCCTCTGGCGGGTCGGTCTCCCCACGGGGCGTCCAAAGTAAGGTGTGCTTCGCTATAGTGCAATCAGCAGAAAAATAGCCGATAAAATTTTTTGTTAGTTGTTACAGTTACATACTCTTCTCGTTGAGACTTAAAAAAAGGGCAGAGGAAGCGGAGGGAAGGGACTTGCGTGGGCACCTTTTTTGTCCTCCCCGGGCCGCGGCGCAGTGCAGCGCTGTGCTCCCTCGGCGGGCAGCGCGCACTTCATTAACACGGCTTTATGCAAGAGCAGCCGCCCCGCGGGCCGCACTGACCCGACCCACACCGTCACCCACCGGCCGACCTGGGCCGACCCGCGCGCGGAGAAAGTCCGGAGGCACGGGATCACTTGCCCCCCCCCCTCTCCGCGCGTATCGCAGGGCATATCAGTGGCGCGCGCAGCATCAGCCAACTGCAGCCTGACCCCGAACCGCGCTGTCTCTCTCGCACCCGAGCGGCGCGCCCCGCGCGAGCGAGAGAGTCGGAGCGCCTGTCTACGGCTGCTCAGCTCGGCTCAGCTCCGCTCGTATTTTGATAAAGTCGTTAAGGCGCCTTTGCCTCCGCCTTTGCGTTTGCGCCTCGGCGGCTGAGGCGGAGGGAAAGCTGCCCGGTAAACGCCGCACGCCGCGATTGTCCGCCCGCAGACCTGTCCGTCTCACTCGCACTCGCGGGCCGCCCCGGGCCGGCAGTGTGGGAGCGAGAGAGAGGGACTGCCTAGCCGAGCGTGCGGCCCGCGTCCCGGGCCCGACCCGCCCAGCTTGTTATAGAGATTGGACTATCGGGTCTGATCGCGACACGATGCGACGCCGGCAGCCTGCCTGGCTACCCTTTCCTGCTCCTGGCCGCTGTCTGTCCTGCGGCTGGGCGCGCCGATACCCCGCGTTGCCCCGCGGCGCGCCAAAGTCTCTCCGCCGCGGGGTATCGCGTCGCGGTGTCGGGTGTCGCGGAGCGGAGCGCCTGCAGCGTAGGCCGCCCCGCCGACCAGGCGTGTCGCGGTGTTGCCTACCCGGCGATACGCAGGCGCTAGCGGCCCCGGCCCGCTCAGGCACTGCGAATACCCTGTGCTCTGTAACTTCGTCAACTAGGCCCTAGCGCACCGGTGTATTGGCCCGTGCCTGAGCCCCGCAGGCAGTTTGTCAAGTTGTAGTGGTCTGGGTTTGCTACTGGAAAACTTTGAGTGTGTCGACGCGTGTGTTGCAGGCCGTTGGCGATGCGCTCCGCCGTGGCCAGCATGCTGCACTCCAAGTGCCGCAGCGCGAGCGCCTCGCCGTACACGCGCGCCCCCGCGGTGCTGCGCCTGGGCGTGCCCGACGACGCCGTGCCCTGGGCTAGCGCGTGGCCCCACTACGCGCCGCCGGACTTCACCGACCCCTGCGTGGTGGGCCGGCCCTGGGCCGACCCCGCCCTGGACGCGGAGGGCTTCTCGCCGGCCTGGAACGCGCTGGACGGCGGCGTGGACCGGCGCAGCCACGAGGGCGAGTACGCCGTGAGGGACGGCCGGCCGCTCAACCCCCGCGGCCGCACGGGGCTGGGCGGGCGCGGCGTGCTGGGCCGCTGGGGGCCGAACCACGCCGCCGACCCCATCGTGACGCGCTGGCGGAGCACCGAGGCGGGCCGCGTGCTGCAGTTCGTGGCCATCAGGCGCAGGGACTCGGGGGAGTGGGCGCTGCCCGGCGGCATGGTGGACCCCGGCGAGGCCGTGTCCGCCACGCTGCGCCGCGAGTTCCTCGAGGAGGCCCTCAACGTGCTGCAGGACCCCGCCAAGGAGAAGCTCGTCGGGGACGTGTTCGCGTCCGGCGGCGAGGTGGTGTACCGCGGCTACGTGGACGACCCCCGGAACACGGACCACGCCTGGATGGAGACCGTGGCCTCGCACTTCCACGACGAGCGGGGCGACGGGCTCGCCGCGCTGCCCCTGGAGGCCGGCGACGACGCCGTCGGCGTGCGCTGGACCGACCTCTCCGCCGGCCTCAAGCTGTACGCCAGCCACTCGCACTTCCTGGAGGCCGTGGCCAACAAGATGGGCGTGCAGTGGTAGCACTTTGCTGTGTCTCTGTGGCCTGTGAAACGGTCCGCTCTGTAAATAACGGTCGAATGCAAACACGAATAAACCGTCAGAGTAAACTGGAAGAAATATATTTATCCTGTATCGTGCGTCGATACGTCAATAAAGCATTCATAGAGCTGTCATTACAAGCAAAACAATTCAGCCACCCTAACGCGTGGCTGTTCAGCGCACTGTACTACGACAATTATTTTAATTTCAAAAGAAAAATGGATCCAATGACAAAGCTGTAGCGTAGCGCTAATAATTATGTCTGTCGGTAAAGTTGCAATCGATGTATCACTCAACGCACTGCGTCTTGAAAAAGCTTCAGAAAAATACATTAAAAGATCTGAGTATAAATTCTCTCCTCCTATAACTTATAGATACCTCGTACTTCATCCTTATCCTACAGGAACTTATCTAGTTAAAAAAAAAACAACTCGTATTGCGTTTACACAACGAACATAGCGCAAAGGTACAGTGAAACTAAGACTAGCATGGTCTTTAATTAAATAGTAACGAGCCACAGGTACACTCAAGTCTTGGGAATCGTTTCCCCTTCAATTGAGATTTTACATACAACAAAAATGTTTGATTGTGAGCAACGCGTATTATTTACAAAGTTGATATGCGGGATGCACAGCGCAGCTGTCGAAAAACGACTAACATTTGTTTTTCTTGAATTTGAAAGATGCCAACTTCCATGAGTCTTTGTAGAAAATAACCTGGCATTTACGCAAGACACCCGAATCCAAAGTGCGGTAAAGAAGGAAGTGGACACGCGGCTAAAGCAAGAGAAGGACAGTTCGCCAAGGACTCTCTCTCTCCTTTTGTTTGATGCCATTCTATGGGCGGCTGCACTGGTGCGATCATGACTCGGCCGGCCTCCGTGACGCCGGCCCGGTGCGGAGTGTGAGATGGGCTCCCCGACGACTAGTTGACGGCGACCCCTGGCGAGGCCGAGGCCAAGCAGAGGGCGCCGGCGGGGCTGCTTGAGCATGAGGGCGCGCGGAGGGTCCTCGACATCGTCCTCGACATCGTGGAGGTGCTGGCGGTCACGTGCTGGGCCCGTTGGCGTCCCCGGGGCTGAGGAAGGGCAGGTGCTCGTGCAGTGCGTGGAGGTCGATGCCGGGCGGGTACGAGCTGGTGGCCGCCTCCGCGGACTCCTCGTCCTCCTCGGCCGGCGTCGTGGAGGCCGTCGCGGAGGCGGACGACGCCGTGGTCGTGGTGACCGTGGTGTAGTCGGTGGTCATGGTGGCGGTGCCCGTCGCCTCCTCGGCGGCCTGCTCGCTCGTCGCCCACGTGTCGGACGTGGTTACCTGCGTGGTGGCCGCGGTGACCCGGGTGGCGTCGGTCGTCGGCGTGGCCGTCGGCTCCACGGAGTAGTCCGTCTGCGTGGACACATCCTTGACCTTGGGCTCGGGTATCCGCTCCTCTGTAAGGCATTGGCTCACCGTTAGGGCAGGCCCGGAAATACCAGTGGCGGGTACAACGTTGCCGAAGGAAATGGACAAAGTAAATTGAGACTTACCGGGCGCGGGCGGGCAGTTGTCGTACTTGGGGCAGCAGCTGCCGGGCACGTGTCGCGGCGCGCAGTCGGGCCGGCGGTAGCAGTGCACCCGCGTGCACACGGCCTCGCCGCCCTGGCAGTAGCACGCGCGGCACGGGTCCGGGTCGGCGCTGGCGGGCAGACGCGCGCCGTTGTGGAACACGGCTCCGGCCACCGTGCAATCTACAGCGTGGCACACCACAGATTACTGCCTTCGATCTGCGTCCTGGGTTCCGCCAGTTCCGCCGAGGCGGGCCACCGGTCTCTCTCTCGCACTCGCGGGGCGCGCCGCACGGGTGCGAGAGAGACAGACCGACGGGGCCCTCCGTTCGGAATCAGCCCGTGGGGGCCCCAATTTCGCCTCCGTTCGGGGCGTTTACGTGACTTGCTGACCGTCTCGACTGCAGGCTGGCTCCGAGCAGCGCGCTTTCTGTCTCTCTCGCACCCGTGCGGCCTGCGGCAAGGCCTGCGGCCTCCACTACGGGTGCGAGAGAGACAGAGCGACTGTCCGGAACCGGCCTGCTGGCGAGTGGCGCCATGCCAGGCCTGGGAAATTGATTTGCAGGTTTTCCGAAATGTGGGCGCGCTTACACTGTCCGTCGGCGGGCGGCGCGAGCGTGGCCGCGGGCACGGCGCGCTCCTCCTTGGCGGCGGCCGCGTTGGCCGCGGCGTTGGCGGCGGCGATGGACGGCGACGTGAGGGTGGCGGCCGTGGCGGTGGCGGGGACCGAGGTGCCCTCCTCCGACGAGGTGTCCAGGGGTCCTGCGCACAGAGCGTGTCACTCGATAAGCACGGAACCAATCCCGTTAGCGGGCAGGGCCTGCTTGAGGGCGCCAGGCGCGCGTCGCCTCATCGCGCTTCCTCCTTGCGTCTGGCTCGTGTGCGCTATCCTCTCCGCCAGCCACTGCAATTTGAGCAAATTGGCGGCCTTGGCTTGTGGGCGTTTGTCTCGCTACGTTCTGTGTACACGGTGTCGGTGTACACGGTGTGCACGGGCCGCGGGCCGCGCGATGGGGCTTGACGGATCGGCTTGGCACTTTCCGAATTACCGAAGCCAGCCAGCCAGCGAGCATTGCCTCCGCCTGGAAGTCCGCAAGTCTGGAAGCCTCCCGCCTGATTAGGACCCGAGACCGTCTCTGTCTCTCTCGCACTCAGGGGCGCCGCACCGAAACGAGTCACTCTCTCTCACTCTCTCTGTCTCTTTGGGCGTACCTGACGAGGCGACCGCAAACAGCAGCAGCAGCGTCAGGAGCAAAGGCGATGACATACCGGACGTTACCTGCAGGGCTGCATTCAACTTACTCTGCAAAAATTAAAATCAGTAAATTAATTACCGAAAACACTACAGCAGTTATTAGGCTGAGGGCGAATAACGAAATAATATATCGACCGGTGCCAGTCTGTGATTTGTTATTGTCATAGCCAAGTTGTCGTTTCGACCGGGCTATATAAAGCGAGCTGTATTTGTTTATTGGTTTGTTGGCCGCCCTGCGGACTGCGGACGTCACCGCCTCGAGACGCGGCCGCGCAAGCCTTCCGCGTCCTTACAGCCTTACAGTGGTTCCGCCCGCGCTTCCGCCCCGCCCCGCCCCGCGTCGCATCGACCCGCTCGTCCTCTTGACATTCGGCGGCCAAACATTGCCCGTCTCTCTCGCACCCCTACGAGCGAGACGGAGGGCTGTCCGACACGGCGGCGTCGCACTGCAGGTCGATGGCTAGCCTTGCCGTCGCACAGACGCGGCGAAATGGTCCGCCGGTGCCATTTTGCCCGAACGTGGGAAGCGAGCCTCGCGCGGCGGCTCGCGTCCGGAACAAAACCCTGCTCGTCACTTCTTTTTAATCACTTTTTTTTTCCGCGGCACAGAGATCCGTTTTCCGCCGCCGCCGCCTTGAGAAAAATCCCAGCGTCTACCATTTCTTTTTTCGGCAGAGTTTTTGCGTCGATTACCGAAGAGACACACTGGGTCCTGCATCTGGGCCGCGTTGTCGTCCCCCGGGACTCGTCGCGAAGCCCAGAGCGCCGCTTTCCGTCTCTCTCGCACTCGCGGGGCCGTCCGCGGCGAGGCCCGCAGGGGTGCGAGAGAGACAGCCTGACCGCGGCCTTTTGTTTGGATTGCGCAACTTCGGTCCCTCTCCTCGACCGTTGTTTTTCGCGCGGATTCGACACGTTACCGAGTGTTCCTGCTCAGACTTACGTCCGTGACGGCGGGGGCGCCGGCGCCCGGCAGTGGGAGAGAGACGGAGCGAGAGGTCAAATTACCGGGGCATTTGGACGTGTTTAGGCGTGAACGGAAAAGCCCCCTCAATCGCACTGCCGTTTCGCGGAGGAGGGAGAAACGGCGGCAGTGCAGTGCCAACCTTCACTTTCAGCACCGCCCGACGAAAACGACGTGCACGCTCAGCACACTGAGAGTCGTTTTCGTCGCTCTGTCTCTCTCGCACCTTTAGGGAACGCCACATGAGTGCGAGTTACACAGAGCGACGAAAACGACTCCCGGAATCAGTCTGCTGGGCGCAAACACTCACACTGCTGCATCGGTGCAGGCCCGCACGCACACACACACACACACACACTGACGGAGCAGAGACAAGTCCGTCCTTTTCGGTGTCGATTCACACGTCAGGATACAATGCCGCGTTCTGTTCCGGTCGGCCGCCCTCCGCTAGCGCCAGCAGAGCGCCAGCTTCCACCCACTGTCACTGCCTATCCGCATCCACGCTGGCGCACGCTGGCGTGGATGGCCTGGCCGGTGCATTCGCTGGCTTCGGGGTTGGGCAGCGACGCCCCAGGGATGCAACGCAATGTTCTTGACGCTGTCTCTCCACTCCAAGTTGAGCCATCCGTGTCTCGATCCGATGACTTTATAATTTGCACGGCCATTGATTTAGTTGGCACATTCAAATGTTTTTCACTCAGACACCCTCTTTCACAAGCACTGTTTTGAGAAGAAGGGTTTGTAAGACACGGAGATCGCGCGGAAAAATCATGCGCACTTTGCGAGCAAGGAAGGCCTCGTGTACAAAAGATTGCGCGAAAACATTTAGCCCGTCGTTATCAACTAAAAATACCGGGGAAAAACGAGGAAAGTCCAAAGTCTCGGCGGGGACACAAAAACAAGGCGTTTTATGGAGCGATCCGCGGACGTGGCACGCGTCATTGGCGTGGCACTGGAAGGGGCTGGAGTCATCCGCTGCGGCGCTGCACCGGGAGGCAGCACGTCGACGTCGTCGGGGAGGTGTCACTCTGTCGACGGCGACCACCGTGTTGACGTTCTAGCGGCACTGCACCCCCCTCCCCCTTTCCCCCCGCGACGCACACGGTAGCACACGGTAGCACACGGCGGCGGCCCAGGACTGCCAGGACGACGCTCACCTGTTGCGTCTGCGCCGGGCCGGGCGTCGAGCGTGTGACTGGCAAGCGCCGGGGCAGGCAGGCAGGCAGGCCGGGCAGGCAGCCGGGCAAGCGCCAGCAGCGCCAGCGCGGCCAGCCCAGCGGCGTCCTCAGCCGCCCCCGCCCCCGCCGCCTCGCCGCCCCGCCCCGCCCCGCCGCCTCTCACTGGAATGTTATAGACCTTGACTGTGGCCGCCAGTCACCCGCCTGCTGTGCTCCTGCTCCCGCCCTGGCCTGCCCTGGCCGCCGTCAGGGGGCAAGCAGGCCGATCTTTGGTCGGGCTGTCTCTCTCCCTCCCTCATGGGACGTGCCGGCGTGCCGCAGGGGCGCGACAGAGACAGAGCGACGAAACACTGCAGGCGCCAACGGCGGCCTACCCCCTCTCCCGCCCCTCAGGCCGCCAAGCACCGCCAAGCTGCAGCGGCATGATATTCGGATTCCAGAGCCTTCAACGTCAACGAACGGCCGATGGCGGCCGATGGCGCGCCGGCGGTGCCCAAGGCGCTGCCCCGCTGCCCCGCCCGAACCTTCCTTTGCACAACCGTCTGCCGTCCGGGGCCGTCCGGGGCCCGTCCCTGAGCCCCTGCAGTCCCTTGAGGCGGGGCGGGGGCCGTCCCTAAGTCCCTGAGGACTGGCGCGGCCCTCGCGACCCGGCCAGACTTGGCGAGTCGGACACTAAGGCACTTCCCGCCTTCTGCTGGACGGTGTACTCGACGGCGTCCTTCACGGCGCGGGTATTGGTCGGAGGCACCAGGCACCCGAGGTCCTGATGAAAAGTTTATGCATGCGACGCCGCGGCGGGGCGGGCCAACAGGCCGACGGACGGGCTGCGCGTGGAATGTTAACGTTTCTTTCTTGGTTTCTGCCTTTATTTCTCTCCTTTTCACTGAAAACGAGAGGGATTGGTTAAACCGTACCGTGTGTGTGCGTGTGTGTGTGCTGGCGCGTTGCTGGAGGCCCCTCGTCGCGTGCATGCGCGGCTGGAGGCTGGCTGGAGGCAGGCCGGCCGCCGGGCTGCAGAGGCCGTGAACAATGCGCGAAATGCGCGATTTTCTCAAAGTTGGAGCGCAGCGCGCGGCCCGGCGCAGTCCAAGGCGGTGCCAGAACGCTGGAACGGAACGGGACGGGGATCACCTGCCGTGCCGTCCCTTCACAGCCGCGCATGGGGAGCAGGGAGGCTGGATTAGCCACTGCACTGCCCAGCACTGCCCCGCTCTGCTCGGTCATGACCGCATCCCCGCTCGGCTGGACCGCTGGAGTCTTGCCTGGAGGTGGCGTCATGTCAGGCCGGGAATAGCCGAACCGCTCTGAGGTAACGACGTCCTGACGGCGTCCTGACGCATCGTGCGGTTGTGGCCGGAATCGGAATACATGATCGCACGGTCTGTCTCTCTCGCACCCACGCGGCCACCTCGAGTGCGAGGGAGAGAGCAGAGGTGCCGCCGGAATCCGTGTCTGCTGCAGACAGCGATTGGAAAGAGGGCTGCCCGGCGCGCTGCCGATCGGTGGTGAGTCACTACTGAGTCAGAGCAGGAGCCCGCCCCGCCCCGCCCCGCCCCGCCCCGCGGGGAGCGCCCGATGAATCAGAGAGACTTTAATGCCGCGTTCCGGAACCCGGCGAAATGTTTAGACTGGTCGTAAAGGGCGGCGAGCTGGATGACTCAAAGATAGAATCGGGGAATGCCGCGCGCTACGCGGCGCTGTGCCACCAGGAACTAGTGTACTGGTTCGCCCGGGGTTCACCCGCGCGCTAAGTGCCGCGGTTCGGGGCGTAGATGTCTGTTGGGCCTTCGGCGACGAGAGCGCTAGCCGTCAAGCCGGACTGCATGCGGCGTGCTCGCGCGGCTGGACTGGTTCCCCCGTGCTTTCCCCGAGGCGGCCCTCAAGACCGGGCGCGAGGCGCGAGGCTCCACGCCATGGCGCCCTGCTCTCCTGGGCTGGTGTACGTTTCCGTGCGAAAATTGCATCCGATCGGATTGTGACTCGTCGCGCTGCCGGGCGGGGCGGCGCGGGGTGAGGCGGGGAGGGGCGGGGCGTCCGCGAGTGACACCGTCGCGCCCCGCCCCGCCTCACAATGGCTGCTTCCGGCCCCGCGGCGGGCTGCTCCCGAACGGCGCTCTGTCGCTCCGTCTCTCTCGCACCCCACGCGACGCCCCGCGAGTGCGAGAGAGACAGAGCGACGAAAGCCCCGTTCGTGATCGGCGTGCCGGCGCCCCCAGAGGGCCGTGCCGCCGTGCCAACGCGCCCAGTGGACGGTTGACGGTTTCATTGAGAAAGAAAACACACCCGCTTGCCGCTGGCGCGGGTTCGAATCCCCGCGGCGGCAGTCGGAAACTTCCTCCTTTCCGGGCGACCGTTTAGCGCGAGCAAGTGCGCTTCGCCTCGCTTTGGCGTCGATCTCATCCTCTCCCAGAATGCGACGCAGTCGGACGCAGTCACGGTTTGTTGTTTGCTTGCGCTGTTTGGCGGCCGGGGAGCGCCAATCTGGCCGATCCCATCACGATCCTGGATGCGTTTAGCGAGTGTGCCGGCTGATGCGCGCTTCGCCGCTTCGTGATTGGCGATTGGTTAATCACTGGGTCACCCGCCGTCACGCTCCGAGCCACTCAGTCGACTCAGTCACTCGGACTCCGCCGCACTGTACCGAGCACTGGGGTCAGCTTCGTGTGAGCGGAGCGCGGAGGGTGACTGAGGTGCCCAAGAGCGATCCTCAAGCATCAGAAGAGCCCCTCCTCGCCGTGTCAACGGAAGGGCGTACTCTTAAAGACTGGCCTAGACACTCTAGTTGAATCTATCTTTATCTCAAATAAACTTGAATCGAAACCCAAAGCCTCGCCTGTCGAGCGAGGAATCCATTGGAGCCATCATGCTGTCTGATTCGAGTCCTGATCGAGCTCCAACCATGTCAAGAGATCCCGTCTGCCTGGACGGGTCCTTTCGCTCATTGCGCGCGGAAAGTCACGTCAGCTAACTGAATCTGAATCGCAAGCCAGCAAGACGACGAAAAAATAAACGGGCGTGTTAGGCCCCGGACTTACGTAAATCGGTTTCTGTGCCGACAGGGCCGTGCTCCAGGAAGGCGTCGTCGACGGCGGTGCCATGCCGATGCCCTCCGCCAAGCGGAAGGCTTCCCCCGACGACGCTGGAGGCGGAAACGGCAAAAATGTCGCGGGAAGGACGCAGCCCGAGCCGCGCCTAGAGTCGCCGCAGCTGTCCAGGCTGTCCCGACTGTGCCGGGGGAGGCCGCTGGCCCCTGCGGCCCCTGCCCCTGCGGCCCCGCTGGCCTGGAAGAAGTTCTCCGGGGAGGGCCTGGACGTGGACTACTGCCGACTGCTGCCCCGCGCGCAGGCCGACCGCGCGCTGGCCGACCTGGAGAAGTCCGTGGACTACTACACCGGGGAGCTGGCCAAGGTGTTCGTCTTCGGCAAGTGGCACGAGATTCCGCGCCAGCAGGTTGGTCGATGTCGTTGACGTCAGCGCGTGTGGTCTAGCCCTTAATGGTAATGGTGCCCTGGCGGCCCGGCCCGTCGAACTCGAGTGTCGTGCGGGTTGGCCTACCCTCGAGTTCGCAGGCGCCTCGCCGCCACTGCAAGTGCGGTCGATTCGGTCGTAAATTGTCCACTTGCGTCCTTCCCACCGCTCGATTCTCAATCACCTTTCCGTTTCAGAGCTCGTTCGGGGACCCCGGCCTGAGCTACAAGTTCTCCGGGCGCACCGTGCCCGCCAGGCCCTGGCCGGAGTCCGTGCTCGCGCTCCGCGCCGCCGTCGAGAAGGCCGCCGGCACGGACTTCAACTTCGTCCTCATCAACAGGTACTTGTCCTCGCCGCGTCGGGTCCGCCTAACGTGTCGACGGCACTGCACTGTGAATGTGGTCGCAGGTACCGGTCCGGGGCGGACCACATGGGCGAGCACCAGGACGCGGAGCGCGAGCTGGACCCCGCCGCGCCCATCGCCTCGCTGTCGCTGGGGCAGCCGCGCGACTTCGTCCTCAAGCACCGCGACGCGAGGAAGCCGCGGCCGCACAAGCGGGACATCGCGCCGGGTGAGGAAAAATTCAAAAAACTGAAATTGCCAGCCTTGTTTAGGAGATGATTTATTCGTTTGCAATGCTCATGTCACAATCACAGGCGAAAATAGGCACTGTAACTATTTGAAAAATAACCACACTGTCTGTCTGCGCAGTGAAGATCCAGCTGGAGCACGGCTCGCTGCTGCTCATGAACCCGCCCACGAACCAGGTCTGGTACCACTCCGTGCCGCCGCGCAAGACCAGCCACGGCGTGCGCGTCAACCTCACCTTCCGACGCATGCTCAAGTGAAAACCTAGTGCGCTCCAGTGCCCCGCGGCGCCCCGCCCGCGACGACGTCTTATACCGCTCTCCAGTATTTATATTTCCGTTTGTATGCCTCACTGTATTATTATTGATGTCAAATCGAATGGATAGCCAAAGCCTGTATTGTTTTGTTGTTACGTGTCTGTGAATCTCGATTGTTTAATAAAAACACGATTTTGAAAACTATTACGCGTCTTTATCCTTGTTCCTGGAGCTGCTGGACACGAAGAAATAACTGATGACTCGTTGCCGGGGCTGGATGTACTGCCACTCCGCGAGGAGTATCGCCGCGGGCCGCTGTGATGTCAAGGGGTATCGCCAGAGTGGCGCGTGAGTTGGGTTGCCCTCCTCGCGGCGCTCGGAGCACCCGTCGTGGGCGAAGCCGGGGAGGCAGGCAACCCATGGCACGCCCTGTCGCTTGTGGAAAAGTTCCTGCCGCATCTTGCCGCCGCGAGGTAGGCCGCACTGCCGGCCGCGCGCAGCTCTGCTTAACGGGACTGCCTACGCCGCAGGCTGCAGGCGTCGTCCTGGAGCTGGCTCGCCGTCGCTACCCCGCGCGGCGGACACTCCCCGCCGCGACGCGGGGTAGCGCCGCACCTTCGCCGCCGGCGATACCCCTCGCCTCCCGGAGTCCTGGAGGCGCGCTTAAGCGGTGGCGAACGTGATCCGCATGCACCGGCCAGGCGGCCACCGACCGGCCGCTTTGCCGAACCCGAACACGGGCCGATCGGGCGCCATTTGGTGGCCAAACGGGGTGGGCTGGCGGCGTCGAAGTGCTTCGGGAAGAACCCTGTCATCAGCGGCGGCCTGCTACTCTAAGGCGCGGTTCGCCTCGGCCGGTGTGCGCCTAGACTCGATGAAGGGCGATTCACCGATGAAAATCACGGACTGTTTTTTTCCGAACCCCGACGGTTCTTAGAAAGTCCAGAGATGGCTTGGGGCTCGAGGCTCCGGGGGGAAATGCTGTATTTCTACTTCTTTATTAACACACTCGTGAGTACGGCACTGGGGGCCGGGCGCTCTCTCTCTCCTTCTCGCTCCCTTCGGACTCTAACAAGACTCGGCGGACGCTGCAGCAGAGAATGGCCCGTAACGGGATAAGCTAGAAATACGGGCGAGAGGCGAGAGGTGTCACGGTGGGTCTAGCCATGGTCTAGCCAGGGTCTAGGCGTCCGTGCTGGGCTGTGGTCACCGCGCCACCACACTGTGACGTAAGGCCGGTCGGGCCGATGAGGACGTCCCGACTCGATCATTAAGAGGGTCCACTTGAGGCGTCGACGCACCGGGATGCACCGCGATGCACCGAGCCAGACAGATCCGACCCGGAGCGACGGGTAATCCTAGGCCCTTCCAGGACGTTACGAATCCGAGGGGTTCCAAAAATCGACTTGGCTTTCTCCCGTGAACGCCTCAAATGGGAGCGGCGGTATTACCCACTCGGAAAGATGGGCGTATTATAGCCCCGGTTTGTGTTATTACGATAAGCAGAGCCGTGCCCGTCGCGGCCTAGACGCTCAAATTCGGGGAGTCCTTATCGTCACCGAGACGAGCTTTCACTGCAGCAGGGCGACTTTCCACTGTATGAATTTCCTCTCTGCATCAAGCGGTGTGTGCACTGTGAAAAAAAATTCCATGCGCCAGCAGCGCGTCTCACTGAGACCAATTTAGATTATAGAGGCGGGACCACACTACTCGATCGAGCGAGTCTACAGTAAGAAAAAGCCTCATCTGGTGGCAGAGCGCGCAGAGCGGCGCAGAGCGAAGCGAGAACCCGGACTCGTCCAGATGCACTTTTAATGCGCCTCGTCGCTTCGGATTCCTCGTCCGTCTCATCGGCGGGGAAACCCAGGGAAACCACGGACTCGGGGCGTGGTGCGAACTCGCTCAAGTCATGCAAGACGGGCCCCGGAGCGTCTCGCGGCGCCTCGCAGCGCAGCGCCGGGCCGTCGGACGGAGTTCGCCGCGGAGGTCGTTCAACCCACTAGGTCAAGGCCGGCTGCGGGCCCTTTTTCCCACCCGCGGAGGCACCCGCCCTGGAATGCTTCAAGTCTCTCCGAACCCTTGCGCGGCTCTTTCAAATCACTACAGACTGCATCCGGTTCGCATTTCTTGTAAAAATGTGCACGAGGTTTTGTGTGGAGGTGTTCAAATAAAGCGACCAAAAATCTAATCGAATGACATTTTATTAATTTATGGGTTTTTGAGCATAAAAACAAAGTATACTGCGTCGTAATATCACAGAGTACACAGGGGGCTCTGGAGGCCGTTCAGTCTGTGGGCCGGGCGCGGGGCCCAGCGCCACGTAGTTGAGACCGCCAGAGCTGCGTGCATGTGCTCCCCCAAAACGAGCGCTTCGACTCCGACGACTGCGGAACTGCCGCCAGGGAGGCCAAACACCCGACCGAAGGTTCAAAGTGCGGCAAGCTAGGACCACGAGGGCAGAAAAAGCACTTTCGGCCCAGCTGTGGGAAGAGAATCTTTCAGACGTACAAATGGATTTATAATGGCCTATTCAGGTATTTGGCCTCCGCGGCGCAGTTCTCATAATTACACACAAAACATGGCAGCATTACTTGCCCTTGAATCAACTCGACTGCACAAGAAGGAACAACCACCTCACCGAGTACATTTCTGGAGGAGTGTTTGACGCCTGCTGCGACAATGGGTGGTTAATAAGTTATCTAGCGAATCAAACTGGTGGAGGCAATACGTGTGAGTCGTTCTGAAGGGAGCAAGCAGGCACAACATGGTTTAACGTTAAATACGAAGCACCGAGAACATACCGCTACATCATTACCAAACTAAATTTACAAAAATATCACGGACCTCTAAAGATACACAAACGTCATAACAAATAGATTCCACAGCTAATCGAATGCTACAACAAATTTAAATTACATTGGATAACACTATTCACAATCTCTTTTTTCTATAAAACATATCTACACTTCTACTCGACTCGCACCACTACGTTACGTGGAAAAGGCAAGTAAAAACTACAACAACAAATATCTACAGAAAACAGACTATCCATTCAAAAGCAGGCGAGTGACAAGAATAGGACCTCAACACTAACAAAAATAGTTTTATACATCGTGTAGCCTAAGAGGGCTGATTGAACCGGCATTGAAGTGATGGGAGACACGGACTTCGGAAATATATTTTCTAGACAAACCCGGCCAAAAATCTAGACACTCCTGCCGTGGTATCGTCGGGGATGTCTAGGAGATAGTTTTCCGAGATGCGAATCTCTAGTTTTGAGGCCTCAGGAATCAATCCAGGTCGTTCCAGCTCCGGTCAACCGGCAGCCGCTTGCACAACGAGTGAGCCACGGCGTTGCGTCCGTCGTTTCGAGAGCTGACCAGAAATGACGGTCTGAATTATCGAGCGAGGCTGTGACTCGCGGCCCGTGGGAACAGAGCGCCGGCATTTTGCGACCCGCCATTGGTGGCCCCATTTCGGCCGCCACTTTCGGGGCCAATTTTGTCTTCGTTCCCCCAAACTCGTCGGCCACATGGTTTTGAGGCGTTGACTACGCCAAAACACCAACAAAAATATTTTTTTAAAAAAAGTTTTAGACAATTTGTACAAAATATTCACAAGACTCTCTTTACTTTCGATAAAAATTAAAAACTCGTTTCTACAGCGTTAGCATAATTACAGTTAAACAACTACTTATCACATATCAAACAAATACATTCTAAAATATGGCCTGTTTATCGTGGACTTATGAAAGAAAATGTTTTTCTAGTATTTTCTTTTATAAACCCTAAGAAATAGGAAACGCACAGACTCTACTACATCATGAGCGTGCAAGATAAAAGGCCAAGGCATAAACAAACAAGCTAAAATTCACAATAACTACGTATCAGATATTGTCAAGTTACGTGTAAAAAAAAGCCTTATAGAAAAACAAAAACAACCGATAGAGCTCGTAAGTACAACATTAATGTGACACCCTTCGTTTTCCAGGCTGACGTAAAAAAAAAGACAAAAAAGATAAAATGAATTTCATTAAAAAAAGTGTAAAAAGGATTTGCAGACGATGAATCGGTTTTCATTCAAATTTCGACACGTGTTGTCCGGTATGTATGACACGAAGCACGCTGCGTGCAGCCAGGCCGGTCGTCACGCGGCGTGACACGGCGTGACACGGCGTGACGTGACGTCGCGTGCGCCAGACTCTCATCCTCGTCCCAAGGTCGTGAGACGCGGAGCGCAACGCGGCGTGTCCTCCACACTTGACGATGCCAAATTTCAAATGTGGCGCCGAAATTGGGGCAGCAGTTGCTTCGCGTTTCGAGCTCCGCGTCGAACCGACCGGCCGGCAGGCTATGGCAGTCACGCAGCGCGGCCGACCAGGCGGACCGCGATCTGACTTTGAGCATTCGGAGCGTCTCGATCCCATTTCTCCGAGATTCAGACTACATGAGGACACTAAAACAGTCACGTTTATCACTTTCGATTCAACACTCACGCTCTCTCTCTCTTTCGCACGCACACACACACACATACACACATGCACACTGACATTCACGGGCGAAGCGCCACGCGCCTCACACTCACATTTTAAAAACGAGTCTTTTAAAAACCGTCGCGGGGCCGCCCGCACTACAATTCGTTAAAAACCTAGTTTTCCGTCGCCCAGCCCGCGAGCAGTCAGTCCCGCGGGCGGGCCTCGGGCAGGGGCTATGAAATCTCATTGGAGGAGGGCGCAGGCCCCGCCCCGGCCGACGACGGCGGCCCGGGCCTGTCGGGCCTGTCGGGCTGCTCGGCGGCAGGGCCGGACGCGGGGCCGGACGCGGGCGCCTGCACCGGCCCGAAGAAGCCCAGCGTCCGCAGCGTGTCCGTGGTCCTGGCGATGAGCTGCTCCTTGTACCGCCAGATGGTCGTGTCCGCCACACTGTTCTGCCGGAACTCGACGCACGTCTTCTTGAGCGTGCGCACGCAGTCGGCGCGGTAGTGCTGCAGCTGCGCGTCGGCCGTCTCCACCGGGTAGCTGGTGCAGCCCGAGCCCAGGCACGACAGCGGGAAGTGGTTGTGCAGCGTGAGCGCGCGCTCCGGGTTGTGGAAGCACTTGACGTACTGGTTGGGCTTGGTGAAGTTCTTGCTGCGGTACACGTGCTGCAGCATGTGCATGTAGCGCGGGATGTCCTTGTACCAGCCGTGCGCGTGGATCAGGTCGTCCAGGAAGTACACGTTGCGCACGTTGTACGAGGCGCGCGTCTCGTTCTTGACGGCCAGGGCCTTGGGCAGCACCTCGTCCATCAGCTCGCGCCAGCCGCGCGCCCGCAGCGGCATGATGACCTCGTCGATGTCCAGCAGCGCGATGTACTCGTACGTGTACAGGTTCTTGTACAGGCAGTCGTTGTACGGGATCAGCTCGTTCTGCCGCTTGTGGTTCACCTTCTTGACGAGGTACATGTGCTGGAAGCCGGGGATGTTGGGCTGGCCGCCGGGCAGCGTGAGCGGCGTCACGGACACGCGGCCCTGCTGCTCGTAGTGCCGCAGCACCTTGCTGATGTTGGGGTGCACCTGCGGGGAGGGGTCAGCATTAGCACGAGGACACACACTGCAGTGGGCCAGCACACCGGTGGAGGCGGTTGAGATTCTAGGCGCGTTTTGAGCTCCAGAGTCGCTAAATGGGACTCGAACCGAACGTGTGACCCCACCAATGGATTCCTCGTTCGGAGAGCAATCCATTGGTGGGGTCACACGTTCGGTTCGAGTCCCGTTTAGCGACTCTGGAGCTCAAAACGCGTCTGGAATTTTGGCCGCCTGCACTGGTCTGCTGGCCCACCGTAAGCTCGAGGCCGCGCGACACTCACCTGCAGCTCGTAGAAGAAGACCTTCTCGGCGCCCAGGATGCCCAGCAGCTCGATCCACTCGACGAGGCGCACGGACAGGTCCTCGTGCAGGAAGTCCAGCCCCTTGACGCACACGGCGAAGCCCTTCTTCTTGGCGGGCCGGTCGTACAGCACGCGCAGGTGGTTGGTGGCCGTGTCACAGGGCTTCTCCACCATGGACACGGACACGGGCACCTTGGCGTGGTGCGTCTTGGGGATCTGGCAGGCGATGAGGTAGGGCTGGTAGATGCCCTGCTTGTAGTTGCCCCACTTCTTGTACCAGATGTACTTGTACTCCATGGTCTTGACCAGCACGGGCTCCTTCTGGGCGTCGAACCAGAACTGGCAGTACGTCTTGACGGTGGGCTCGATGCGGTTGATCATGCCCAGGATGCGGACGGCGGGGCCGATGCGGCTGAAGCGGCGCACGTCGTAGTACGCGCCGTACAGCTGGAAGGTGCCGTTGGTGGTGTGCATCGTCTGCCAGTACACGTTGTTGAACTCCAGCTCGAAGATGGACGGCATCTTGGCGCAGCTCTCGTTCTTGTAGAACATGGGCCTGTTCTTGTTCTTGAGCCAGAAGTCGACGGGCACGCGCGGCAGGGTGCGGGCCACCTCGGCCTCCGCCTCGGCCTGCGTCCGGTTGCTGCCGTTCTTGTCGACGAAGGGCTCCGCCACCAGCAGCGACTCGAGGGGCGGCGTCGGCGACGTGGTGGTGGACGACGAGCTGGCCGCCGCGTTGGCCGCGTTCTCCGTGTGCGGCGTGCTCGCCACGGCCTTCATCAGCAGCAGCCGGCTGCGGGGGTCGCTCGTGTGCGTGTCCACGTGGCCCTCGCGCAGCTGCAGCACGGCCAGCACCAGCAGGCCCCACACCAGCAGCACCGCCAGGCAGCGACGCACCAGACGGCCCATCCTGCAACACCACAAGCACGCCGTCAGGACTCCGAACAACTCGAACTAGCCTAACCTAACCTAGCACAACGTGAGCTAACCCAACCCCTTCGTGCCGAACGCAGCCAGCGGATGGCACGACACCGCCGACCTCAAGTGCAAGTGCGAGTCTGTTTTAAATTACGGGAGAGGAATACCAAATCGTCAGCGTCAGAGTGTGTGTGTGTCTGTGTGTGTGAATTCATAGTGTTGGTCTTCTCATAACAAAAGCGAGAGGAGAGTGAGTGAATGTGTGCGTGTAGTTGAGGGGAAAAAATGAACGCGCTACGCGGAAACTCCCATTGGAGACTTGAACGCGGGTGAAGGACCCCGCACAACCCACACACACACACACCACACACACGCCATCGAAAGCAACGCGTCGCAACCCATCCTCCCTGTTGGCGGCAAGGGCCTGCAGCGGACTGATACCGTCGCGCTGTCTCTCTCGCACTCATGGGGCGTCCCGTACAGGTGCGAGAGAGGCAGGGCGACGAAGACGACTCTCAGTCTGCAGAGGGCCAACCCGTTTCCGTAACGGTGCCACTGCACCCAAAACGACGACAGTGCGAGCAAAACGACAAGGCGGTGCTTGGCCGGCCCGCCGTTCGGTTCGGCCGTGTCGGACGTCGGACGCGGTGCGCGGCGGTGCCGGCCCTTCATTCCGAGAGGCTGTCTCTCTCGCGCCTCCACGGGCCGCCCCACGAGTGCGAGAGAGACGGAACGAGTCCGCGGCCCCCGGCCTGCCCCGGCCTGCCCGCAGCGCGCCACGCGGCGGATTAGGCAACTTCCCACCGCGAAGCGCGAGGCACCGCGAAGAGCACAAAGCTTCTCGCCGCGGCTATCGTTCGGCCGGATCTCGTTCACGAGCTGCAAATTGCGTATCGCGGCACGCATGCGGCGGGGGAAAGGGGGGGGGGGGGCTAGAACCGAGACTCGGGCCGGCGTCACCAAGACGAAGACTCGGGCCAACCCGCCGGGGATCGCTGATAACGAGAGAGCGCGGCCAGCGCAAACCACCATGGAACTAAGCCCTCTCACTTGGGGTTGGACTCTGGCCGCGAAGTCGCACAGCAAGCGCCCCTTTCCTTTGAAAAAAAAAGAAACTAAGCAGTGCGCTTGTTTGAGTGTGAGTGTGTGTGTGTGCACTGAGAAGGATCAGACAATTTAATCCGTCTCCGCCCATCAGGGAGGACGACAGTACCGCACTAGAACGAAGAGAACCAGTTTCCACCGACGGCTCCCACAAATCGAGTAGGGTTCCAAACGACGCGCGAGTCCCGGGTGGCCACTCAATTCCAAAAATGAAAATTTCCCCGGTTTTTTTCCCCCTATTCCCCGGGCAAAATTAAGGCTTTTTTTGGTTATTTTAGTGGTTCAAAGGCGCTTTTTCAGGGCGCGGCAGCGCCTGGGGAAAGGTTTGACGCTGATAGTTTGGGGGCAGTGGTCTTGCAAAAAGGTCAAACAGTGAATAAATTTCAGAAAATCACCGTTTTTTCTGACTTTGAGTGGTCACTGCATCCAATTTAGTTGCGGGCAAAGGGCCCTCCCTCGACCCCTTACTATTCTAAAGACCCCTTTTTCATGTACCCCCTCGGGAAGGCTTTGACCGCTGATAGTTTGGGAGCAGTGGTCTTCCCAAAAATGGTAAAAACAGTGAATGAATTTCAGAAAATCACCGATTTTGCTGACTTTGAGCGGTCACTGCATCCAATTTAGTTGCGGTAAAAGGGCCTCCCTCGACGCCTTATATTCTAAAGACCCTACTTTTTCAGGGCCCCGCCTAGGGAAGGCTTTGACCGCTGATAGTTTGGGAGCAGTGGTCTTGCAAAACTGGTCAAACAGTGAATGAATTTCAAAAAATCCCCCTTTTTTTGCTGACTTTGAGCGGTAAATGCATCCAATTTAGTTGCGGTCAAAGGCCTCCCTCGACCCCTTTATATTCTAAAGACCCTACTCTTTCATGGCCCGCCTGGGGAAGGTTTTGGACCGCTGATATTTTTGGGAGCGGTGGTCTTGCAAAAATGGTCAAACAGTGAATAAATTTCAGAAAATCACCGATTTTGCTGATTTTGAGCGGTCAGCATCTAATTTAGTTGCGGTCAAAGGCCTCCGACGCCTTACTATTCTGAGGACCCTACTCTTTCGTGGCCCGCCTGGGGAAGGCTTTGACCGCTGATAGTTTGGGAGCAGGGTCTCGCAAAAATGGTCAAAAAGTGATTGAATCCCCAAAAATATGATTGTCATTTCATTGGATGATGTTGATTTTTTCACTGTTTAAACCAGCTAGACGTGCAATGATTATCTTGAGTTGAGTACCCCTTGCTGCGGCACCGCCCTACGATGAACCTTCAAAAGAAATTGACCTACAGGCAGCGCAGGGCTTTTTCGCCTTTTTCCCGGTTTCAATATAAAATTTCCCCGGGTTTTTTTCCCGTTTTTCAAGGAGATTTTATTTTCCCGGGTTTTTCCCGGTTTCCCGGTCGGTGGCCACCCTGGAGTCACTGTCGACTGCAGTCACGCCCGCGGCACGCGCTTTGGGACACGCTGAGCGCACGCACGCACACACACACACACGTGGCCAGCTAATTAATGCCGCGTCGCACACTCGGACACCGAGCCGACAGATGATAAAGGGAAGGCCATTCCACAATGGGGGAGTACGCGCGCACGCACACAGATGCATGCATGCACACACACACAGAGTGAGACAGACAGGGCTGGAGCAGTCTGCACTGCGCACTGCGCGCCGGCGGCTGGGCGGGTGTCTTGCCCAACGGCTAAAGCGTTTGCTCGCTGCCGCGCTGCTCAAGCTCGGTGTCATCCCAGTAGCGCGCGCGCGCGGGCTCCACACACACACACAGACACAGAAGAGGCGAAAAAATCCAAGGCTCCTCGCGAGCAACGAGTTTGTCAGATGACGTGTGCCGTTCTGACGCGTTCTGACGCACCGCACGCTTGCCCGGCGCTGGTGCAAGCCGACCCCAGGTTAGCCCGATCCGACTGTGCCTTCGGTCCAACCCTGCAGCTCGGCGCCCACGTCGGCGTGCTGGCCGGGCCGCGCGACTACAGTCGAATCAGAGCAACTTCCCGGCGGGATGACGCGACGGTGGCGTCTGCCGGACCGGGACGAAGCGTCCGCATTAAAAGCAGGGCGGGGCAGCCGAGCCTGGCGGAGCGCAAATGCCATCAAGCCGTCAGTCGCTCCGTCTCTCTCGCGCCGATACGGCACGCCGCGTGAGTGCGAGAGAGACAGAGCGACGACTCTCAGTCCGTCCGCCGCACCACCGCAGCCTGATGAGTCGAGTCCCCATCGGACCCTCCCCCCCCACTTCCCCCGGCCAGTCTTCCTGGTTGACATTTCAGCCAACGGGTCGCCGGCGGTCGGCCTGGTCGGCGGACAGCGCGGCGGCGGCACAGGTGGGGCGTGGCGGGGCGTGGCGGGGCTGCGGTCGGCGTCGGCCCCAAATCAAATAAACAACGCGAGCGGCGCCCCACGCCGCCCCCCGCCGCGACGCCTGCCGGCGAGAAGTACAACCCATTGTGCGATGGATGGCATGGCATTCGTCTCGTCCGACACGGCCAAAAAGGCACCTACCTCTACACCGCCTGCACGCTTCAAATCTTATCGAGTAGCTTGTATTTTCAGCGTCAAACTGTTCCGTCAGTCATACGGAGAATTAGTTTGTTCTAGTTCCGAAATATTTTTCGGACGCTTATGGATGCATCCATGTTCACAATACTTTTTTTAAAATGTCAAACCACCTTTCTTTGCCAGGCCTGAATTAGTATGTTAGGTTTTGAAAGTTTGTCTCCCGGATGTGACCCGGGTCAACTTCGTTCCTGATGGCAGAGGTTCATTCATGGTCTAGCCTATACCGTTCATGTAAGTGCTCTGGAACATCCACATGAAATATGAACTCATGGCAAATAGTACCTCAACAGTACATCGATTGGCTTATAAGATCGAGGACGCTGTTTCAGAGAGCAGTGCGCGTTTGGAATTTCGAATAACTGAAGTCGAAACGCAATGCATCCAGGTTCCGCGTAACCAATATCAGGAGCCGGTCTGAGTGAGATGGCGTGCTGGGTGCGTTCCTTCCCCTTCCTAGGTGTGACGTGCACACACCCTCATCACGGAGTCTCCCCGCCGCCAAAAAATTAGGGTCAGGCTCTCAGAAAATCACGCAAGCTTGCGCCACGACCGACTGGGTCCTGCTGACGATGGCGGCGTCGTCCTGTCCGGATGCTATATGCCATGAGGACGCCATGAGATGCCATGCAGGATGAGGCGGTCACTTTCTCTCTCCCGGGCGCCACGATGGACCGGCCGGCCTCAGTGTGGGCGCATCGGTGACGGCGTAAACACACACACACACACACACACACAGCCTCTTTCTCTCTTGTAATGCATCCCGATACAACAGGATCAGGCCCACTCGACCCTCCTCGCAGAGAGTGACGTAAAGGAGACAAATCAGCCAGATGGCGCGACATTTGGATTCGCGCGTTACAAATGAGGCAGCATTCTTGGTGCAACGTATGCAATTTATGTAAATTTCTTTGCAGTTGAAGGGAATTGGCAACTGAATCATGGATGCGACGGGTTGACTGCATGTTTTTTGGGGGCTGTCCTTCCCCAGCCACTCAAACCCTGATTCATCACATTCTCGTTTACCAGACAATGCAGAGGCGTTTTAGGTTAGGTGCCACTCGAGCAAAGTGGAGCCCAAAGCCCACTTTCGCGGCCTCGATGCGGACAAATCGCTAATCGCGTGGATCGAGCACCGCACCGCGCACGCCCAGGCGAGCATGCCAAGAAAACGAAAGTGTTTGCATACATCAGGACGTGGGCTGCACCGCTCCAGATCAGGGCCAGATAGGCACCGCCGCGAACGCCGCAAAAACCAATGCACATCGCAAATTACACACAGCCACTCATCCGACGTGGAGCACGTTTCCGCGTCAGTGAAGCAGGTCCTC